TTTCTTTATTTAAAAAATAAACTTTCTCTACTAAAAAAATAATAATAAAAGCTAAATAAAACAAATGCCGATTAAAAAATTGTCCACCAATCGCCACTTCATGCATCAAAAATGCGCCCCTTGTGCATTTTATTATTAGTATTTTTTCTAATAAATATGAAATTATTATATACTTTCTAACATTTTGAAAATTATTTTATTTCACATTTGTTTCTTAAAAAGTTTCCTTATTTTAAAAATAAACCTTCTTATAATGTTTAACATATGTTGAGAAATGTTTAAAAATTTGCCTTACATTATTAATATCAGCAATTCCACAAGAGATCACTATTAAAAAAGCTACTACTGGCAAATAGCAAAATTTTTTGATTTTGCCTTATATGTTAGGAGTGATGAAATTCATGAAGGGGACTTATGCATGCAAAGGTGTCCAAAAGTAGTAAAAATTGTAATTTAATAAAATTGTTAAGTACATACTTTGAAAAGGTGTTGTATTCCTTGTAAATAAAATCAAAAATGAGAGCATATTAATGATTTGGACTAAAATGTCAAATTATTAATAATGAGTGACGGGTCCCGTACTACAGACAAGGTATAAATTTGTTATTTCAACAAAACAAAAAATACAGTAAAACTGATACAGTAGTATTCATGGAATATTGCAGATTATTCCTCTATATTTGTGTTATATTTCCTAGATCACTACAGGAAGGTAGTTAACATTATTTTAAGAAAGCAACTTTCAAATGACAGTTGTTATCGCCTATTAAAGATGGGCAATAATAAATTATTAAAAATATTAATACAATTAAAAATATTTTTACTTAATAATAGTTAACCTTAAAAACTGAAAAAAATTCAGGAAATCATTTTTTGTATTGTGTACCAGTGGAAGGAACTAACTTGCTACACAAAACAACTACTGTAATGTCTTTCTTTAAAGTAGTTGTGGTATGATAAAAAAAGAGAGAGAAAAACTAGTTTGTTACGATTCCTTGCAACAACTTATAACATTCGTTTAGTAAAGAAACAATATTTAAAAGCAATTTTTTTTTAATCTGAAGCATTTCTTATCTCAGTCTGTCTGTAGTGAGAATGTCTTTGTGCCCAAGGAATTTTAAATTTTATCTAGCCATAATGAATTATAGCTAATTTTATCGATTCGCTTGTATAATATCCCTCAAATGCAAATGAACACTCAAGATCAAAATTAAAAGTTATTTCAACGAAGAGGAACATATGTTACTTTGTTTATTTCATTCAAGAAAATTAACAACTTCAAACATTTAATAATGAGTTGATAATTTTCTAGCTTTTCCAAAATTGAATATTCACTATAAGGAGAACCATAAAAAGGTTAAGGTTGGAAAAAATTCTTTAAAAAAATTGTTTTGAATAATATATTTGCTCATATAAACATGAATAGATGTCTTTTTAATTTCCAATGATTCAATAGGCCAATTTATTATTTTAATTATTCTTTTTATCAATCTTCATTTTTTTTTTGATGTTGAACTTGAGTGTAAATTAAATTTGCCAGCATAACTCGTCTCCTAAACGTATTAAAGTTAAAACTACATTATAAAAGTATTTTGTAATTTCTGCATTTAAAATAAAATAGTTGTGTTTTAAGTAGTTTTCTACAAAATATATATATATAGTTTTTTTAAACATTGATTAATACTCGTTCAAGAATTTCAACATCGCCCACGTTATAGAATAGTACTATTACCTAAAGGATAGCATTACATTACATAATAGAATAGTATAACCTAAAACAGTCCAGATTAAGACTCCAACATTATAATGGGTAGAAAAATCAATTGTTTTTTAGCCTAAATAAAAAAATTTAGCAAGACAAAACTGCATCTTATAATTAGCTATGTGTTTTCAGCATAAGAACATCAATACCTTGATACTGTAAACACTTAACATACAGAAGCAAAAAACAGAAAAATCAATAAAGCTCTTTTTCTTCAAGTGAAACAACTTATTAATGTCTTCACTTAAGAATCATAAAGCACCAAATAAAAATGCATTATCTTTAAAAAAATACACTCACACAATATTTTGTTCATCATATTTTTTACATATCTAAATTCTAATAAGAATATGAAAGCTATAAAAGTGGTTAAATTTAATTATAAAATTAAAATAGTTTAAAAAAGTATTTAGGTACCTTTGAGTTTTTTTGGCTTAATATATAAAAGTGCCACGCCTTTTTTTTTAAATGAAACTCGTACAAGAGGAACATAAGTGGAGTTTCCTTATTACTTCTTTTTAAGAATAAATTTCTAAAATATGAAGACATTGGGTCTTAATTAAGACATTTTTATAGCATATAAAGTTCACTTCTCTTATGCAGCTATTTCATTTTTGCAATGGAATCGCTGCTGAATCAATCATTGGCAAGCATTTTCAGATTTGAGCAGGTTTCACGAGAGTTTCAAATGTTCAAAAGGATTGTACATGCAAGATACGGTCGGTCATCTGATTTCCCTCAAATCCCTTTTTAAAAAACAAAAATCGAAAATAAGCACCTTCAAGAACTTTTTAAAAACGCTACGTGCCATGAATACAATGACAAAATTCCATGGTCAGAAATTTGGTACAGCAATTGAATAAAAGATGTGAAAATGTTTATGACAACAAACTGCCAAACACTTCCTACAACCTGTAGAGGTGTCAACTTTCCAAGATAGCAATCAAAAGTTTATCACAGAAATATATATAGTTAGCGCTTACGAAAATAAAATTAACCAGATTCGAAGGTATATATATACTACATAATTCTATATAGGTGTATAATATTAATAAAATTATACATAAGTTTACTATTAAATAAAAAAAAACACTTGGAGAAAGATAATAAATTGAAACTTATATAACACTGAAATTTCTTACTTTATTCTATAACTAAATTGATTATTTGGAATCAATATTTCAATTTATGGTTACATAAGAAGACTTATTCCTTTTTTATCATCCTATATTTAAACCACGAGAAAGTTTTGTTCGCAGCATTTCAGATTTGATTTTAGGTTCTTTCCCTTTTCTATAAGGAGATGAGTTTTTTTTTTTTATTTCTTGCTTCAATCAAATAATTGTTTTTAGAATTGTTTAAGGAGCAAAAAGAATGATCATAGATTAGTTGCAAGCAACAAAATTTCTTCACTCTTAGTAGTTAACAGGAAGAAAAAAACTATTTTAAACAGATTATCACAGAATTCTAAACAACCTAAACCTTCACAAAAACCTAATTTTTATTATTCAACTATAAGACCGTAATCTTTACTATGAAATTGCAATAATTGTATATAAAGTGTAATAATGGGAACCTCTGAGCCTGGATTTTGCACAAAGTGAGTTTCATCATTTCAAGCCCTTCTTTGCTGGCAAGCAAAAACGGGACGAGGTCAGATCCATTGTAATATAAAAATTGCAAGCATTATTGATCATTGATGAAAGCACCCAAATATTCAGGCCTTGTTATAATAAATGCCTGATCAAAAAAAGTCTGACTGTTGTAGTTCATTATCTAAGTTAGTTCCAAACAATAACTTGCATGACTCACACATTAAAAGCATACACAAAAAACATATAAATCAAGTTATTAACATAATTTATATCTTAATGTACAACGAGGATGGTTTTCTCACAGGAAAATATATTTGATTTGATTTTAAAGGTAAAATGCAAAGAATAAGAAGATGCATCACAAGACATAAATGCATATTTTTTTAAAAAATAGGAAAATTAAAAAATATTTTAATAACAGATTTATTGATTAAAACATTTAATTTATATTGTATATTAAGGGTGTTAACTTAAAGCTTTTTCAGTATAAAATATAAAAGCCGTAGTTTGAATCCTTCAAGCTCAAATTAGAACATTTATTTGAGACTATAAATATTTACCTGAACTTTAAAACTGATTTAATACTTAAAAAATTATTAACTTTGTGAAAAACTACCAATTTTGAAAACATTCTTTTTTAACCTAGTATCATTTTTTTAAAATATGAGTCATCATTTTTTTAAAATTTTTAACCATTTTTTTAATAATCAATAACAATAAAATTGGTGGATTTTTGAATATTTTTATGAAGACAAAATGAAAAAAAAAATTAAAGCTGTTGAACTTTTTAATAGATCACTCCAGACTTTTCATTGGTGTAGCTTCTCTCTGTCTTTAACATTTTGTATTATTCTCATCATAAACATAGAGGGTGCTGGTGAATGACTGAGAAAATTTAACCTAACAGTCATAAATAACATTTATAGCAGTTATAACAGATGCATATTATTTATTAAAAAGTGAATTTCATGTGATCATAGTGCCTTCAAACAAAAGCCTTAATATATTTTGAGGAAGAAAATATTTAAAAAATAAAAACATGCTTTGAATTCATTTAGGCAGTAGATTTGGGTCTAATGGTTTAAAATATTCTTTTTAAACCTGACAGTGAGCTAGGGAAGGATATACTTACTGATTTCAACATGTGTCCTCGCATCACGTTAATAAACATTTTTTATAAGTTTTGAGAAAATAATACCTCATGAATCCATTTTTAAGCAAAGTGCGTCCTTTGCTAGCATAATTTTGGTCTTTAAAGCAAAAAAAGCTTTTACATATGCATTTTCTGTTGCTTTAAAAAACTGCAAGAAATTAAATTTAAAAAAAAGTTACATATCAATGTTAATTTCTTTTTAAACTGTGTTAGGAGAAACATATCTCACAATTTTCCTAGTTAAATGTATACATCTCATAAAATTTGATTACGAATACAAAATGTCTAACAATATAACAATTACACACTTTTTTAAAAAAATTGTAAGATATAAACTGTATTTGCTTCATACAAAAATTTAAAAAAAAATAACAAACATTTTTTTTAAGTTTATAAATAACAGTTCGGAAGGAAAAACATGTAATAAAAACATGTAATAAGGTTCTGAGAATTAATATAAATTTTTTTTATATACAATAGTACATTTTAAAGGAGCTATATGGGTTTAAAATAATGAAAATAGTTCAATGAATAAATGCTGAATGTCTATAAAAATTAAACTCATTTTCAGACAAAACATATTATATGAAATTTGCTAAAAATATAAAATGTTCTCCAGTCAATTACTTGAAGTCTACCTAAAGTGTGTCAAGTTGAACACCATTTTCAAAAATTGTCAGTCTTGATTTCTTTATCTATTTGGAATAGAAACCTGCAAGTCACAAAATAAAATTTGATTTTTTAAATAAAATTTTTATAATTCAAAACAAACAAAAAATCATCAGAAATACAAGGAATTATGCAATACAGAAATTAAATAGTTTGATTTGAGCAGTAATCACTGACTTTTCACTTAATTATGGAATAAAACTTTTAATAACAGTACTATAATTTTTTGAAAAAATTACAATCTGAGAACACAAATTAGAATACAAAACTTCATAGATAAAAAAATTGATTTGTTTAATCTAACTTAAAAGAAATATAATACAGTGAAACATCTCAGGAGCGATCAATCTTCGTTCACAGCAGTAAAATGGTCGTTAATGGAGGTTGGTCATTCTTACTCCCATTGACTTCAAAATTTTTATCAAAGATTCGCAAACAATTTTAAATTTTGCCAGTGTTATTTTCTGCTGCGGGGATGCCACTTCTGTTGGAGTCATGAAAAGACGGATCGATGAATTAAATTTAGTGTCTATAAAAAGGATCCCAACTGATATAATTATGTGTAAAAACAAGTTTACCAATTATGAATGATAAAACTATTTTAAATAAATAAACAATTATATTTTTTGTTTAAGTTTGTATTTAATTTTATATCATAAAAATTAGTCAGCTTTAAGAGATGAGAGCTTTTTTAGTTTAAGATGCTTATTTCTAAAATAACTTTTTTTTTTCTAATTTAACTTCCAACTCTAAAAGTCAATCATTGATAAGCATCGTCTTTAGTGCACTCTGACTGCAACATGAGGTTGATTGTCAAAAAGAGCTCTCTAAACTAGAGCCTAACACAACTATTTTTAATACATTTTAATCTACTTCTTTGTTTTGTTAAATTTTTTGTTCTGATGTCTTTCTGTGTTTCCTTATTCGACCTTTTCCACTTTTTGTGCACATGTTTGCCCTGTCGATGGGAGAGGTTTTAATGGTCCCTCCTGAAGGTTTTCATCAATACGAAGTCGATGGAAAAAATACAGTGTCTCTCAAAAGTAGTTGTAAATAGAGGTGGTTTCTCCTGAGGGTTTTACTGTATACATTTTGTAAAATAATGATAGTTTATAAAAACATTTCAACACAAATTATTTTTGTATGCTTAAACTTTTGAAAAATAAAGTACTATGCTTATTATAATTTTTTTTCACAAGAAAGATCTCTTACAATACGAATAACTCGGAGTAATTTAATTTAAAAAAACAAAAAAACAATCAGCTTTGCAGTTAATTTTTTTATCTCTGTCTTTATTTATTAAAATTTTTGGTACAAACTCATTTGCATAAGAATGCATCAATTTATTTATTCATTGTACATATGTATTTTAAAAGGAGCACACAATTATAAATCTTAACAGTACCTTTCATCTTGAAAATATGAGAATTTAACTTGCAGCTTGTTGGAAAAACAGATACTTTGTGCATAATTTTAAATAAATTTAATTATAAAATTTCATATTGATAAGATTAACTACATAACCATGAATGAAAAAAATCAACAGGTATGATTATTCTTTTCTGTTTCAACTATTAGTAGGATATCTAATTGATTTAAGGTTTTTTTAACACTACTCAGTAGATTTTAAAGTTTGCAATTTAAGTCTACTAAAGAAAAGTGTTTTGATAAGTTAAGCTGAAAATGTACATTTAATATTGTGCAAATACTCAATTCTTTAAATGTCATAATACTTACTAGATATGTCATAGACACCTTGCTCCTTTTCCATTTCCATTGTTGACAGTAATAACAGGCATATCAAGTTGCCCGATATTAATTGGCATATCTATTTGGCAATCAAAAGTTGTATTCACTTTTGGCTCTTTCCACCGAACAGATGGACCTAAATAAAATTAAAGGATTGTAACTGTTATTAATTTCTATGAAATGATTTGAAATGCTTACAGTTGAACATTTAATATAAAAAAGCTCAGTATCTATGACATTAAGATATTCAATTTTTACTTTAAAGGCAAATTCACATTAAAAATTATTTTCTGATTACAAATGGTGAAAAAAAAAGTCAATCGTATAGTGACATAGCATATTTGTGATATAGACTGTGGTTGTAGATACCATTAACTACGAAGCATAAACCAGTGCTCTACCTAAAGTTTTTAGAAGGGAGGTCCGCCCAGCCTGCTCATTGATTCCTATAAATGCGCCCCCCTTGCCTTTTCTGCAAAAATAAGCAGCCCTCCCTTAAAAATACTGCCCTTTTATTTTACTTTTTTAGGAAAAGATTTTTTTTTATTGATAATTATTTAACTTTAATTTTTTATTTCATTCCTTCATTTTAATAAGATTTTTCTTATGTTGTCTAGTTATATAGCTAAAATTTGTATGAGATTCAGCGATACTCACCTCTTTTATTCGGGAAGGGGGTATTTTAATGAATTTTTTAGTGATTTCAAGTTTTACCATTAATTTTTTTAATTAATACCTTTTTATTTAAAAAATCCATCTTTAAATGTTTATTTTCTCATAATTTTCAATTTAAAATGTAAAAAAAAGCTTTAAAGTTGTTCATCAAATAATCCTTTTTTAGTTTACTTTTTTTTGAAAAAATTTGTACACAGATATTATATAAAATTTATGCTTTTAGATATTTAAATAAAATTTCCAGATTTCAGAAATTTATATAAAATATTTCAGGTATTAATATGAAATTTATACTTTTAGCTTGTCTTTAATTTTTTGTCTAAAGCTTAAACTTTTACTGTTATTTTGATAATGAGTGAGAGTTACGTTGTGAAATACACACATAAAATAGTGTAAAAGAGTAATTTAAAAATTGAGGATCAAATTCAGTTGTTACATAATGTTACATATTTTGGTAAATTTTAATGGTGTTAAGTGAGTGCTCTTTGAAAACTCAAAGTGCTCTTTACTGAATGTAAGAGCCCTTTCCTTTTTAATTCATAGAGAAAACTCTGCATAACTTAATACTCATTTCAAACTCAAAGCCTATAAAATAGTCTAAACACACTATTATATGGAAATAGAGAAAAAGAAGAGTAGATGATCAAGAATAGTAAAAAAAAAAACATTTTAGTTTTAAACTAATAACACGAGAATACAAGGCTCAAGAGCAAAAACATGACAATGAGAGAACAAAAACGAATACTAAGAGAGCCTAGGTGCTACATGACAATTATCAGGGGTTATTCCTGACTTATTAGACCTGTTTTTAAGAAAAATATACTCATAGTTTTTTTTAAATCTATAATGACAGTAAAATGGCGGTACTTTTTGCCAAGATAAATAAAACCCATATCTTTCAATGACTTTCAGTTGCAAAATTTTGAACAACGTAAGTTATAAACTCCATTTCTCAAAAAAAAGGTGGATCAAATTTTAGAACGTAAAATATTGTGAAAGGTTGATTTTTGTAATATTATGAAGATCTTTTTGTGATAAATAATTTTGTGAAGGGTCGGTTTAAATGATAACAGTTTTTGGAATGTTGTGTTAAAAGATCCAACTTTTTCCTAAAATAACCACTGATTGTGAGGACTGTAAACCAGTCAAAAAAGCAAACCTATATTAATTAAATACAAGAAATTTTACATATATTCTCAATAAAATTAACATAAAACTCAATATTGTTTACAATGATAAAGCAGGCAATATAAAGTGTCATTAAATACACTTTCACTTATTTGAAGTTTAACTCCTTGTCTTAAAAGCCTGAAATAACTCGGGGGAGATAATTGCTTAGTTAAGAGATTAATATAGTTAAAGATTAATTATTCCCAGACTTTTACATTGAAAATTTAAAAGATAGATATGTCGACACACTAAAATTGCAATGTAGTGGGACCAAAACTATCTAAAAATTGTTATAAGAAATACAATTCTATTAACATTTTTTTTTTTCATTTACGTTTCAAACAAACCAAAAAATCAGGCATGAAGTTGAAACTAGCAGAATAGATAGCATTATCTTTCTTTTTGTAAACATAATAAAACCATACAAATACAAAACAAATAAGCATTAATTAAGTTACATGATGAAAACAATTTAAAGTGCAGTAAAATTTTGAAATAGTCAATGTGGGTTGAGAAATATAGAAAGTTATCACAAAATGAACTGACATCATATTTACACATAGATCATAAATAATTAAAAAAAATTAAAACAGTGAGTTAACTTTCTGTATCTTTGAAAAATCAATGAAAATAACTGTTGAAAAACACGATTCATTCTTTAAATTAAATAATCTATAAACATTGAAGATTGAACTATCGCATAGTTTAGTTAATTTTTACACTAAATAAAAAAATTCACAGGTTGAAAAATTTTAGCAAATATAGTTTGTGTAATATTGATAATAGGATGTAAGTTAAGATGCTTATAATAATTAGGCATTTGAATAAGTTACTATCTTTATTTGACTGGGAAAAAAACCTTATTTCATTATATTTATTTTACTATTAAATCATGCTCTTGAAAGTTCTATTAAAGTTGAATTGACCTTACGTTTAAAAACGAACTATGTTACTTATATTCTTTAATTGTGATTATACTTTTAATAAAAACCACAAGTTTAAACTCACCAAAGAGACTTAAGAGGACGGGCAGAAGTATGAGACCATGTAAAGTACCAAAGGCTATAATTCCGAGATACATTCTAAAGTAAAATACTTGGAATATCTGGGACTTGGCAAAGGCTAAGACTAGGATGCCACAATCTGTTAATGTTATACCTGATAGTACCTAAAGAATTTTTTAAAAAATTATTTTGTTTTCAAAAGAATACAATAGCTTATATAATTATGAATTTTTTGAAAGCTAAAAATCTGCTTACCCAACTGAATTAAAGCAGCATGTAATTTTTTTTTAAAAAGAAAGAAAATAGACAAAAATTACTTTCAATATATAATCAAATTTTGCATTTTTTGTTTCATGCATATCTTAATTGCTCTTATTTTAGTGCATTTTGTTAGTTCAAATATTTTTTAAGAAAGGTTCATTTTAAATAAAAGATTAAAGCAACTTTCATATTTAACCCTCATTGAAATTAAAAAAACTTACTAAAAATTTTTTAAAATAATGGTTATCTTGAAGTATCATTTAGATATGTTTTACAGAGAAAGAAAAAATTTCCATTGAAAGCAAATTAGATAATGAATACTATAAGTAACTGTTGAAAGAATTATAAACACAATGAATGTTATTCTAAAAACTAACAACAATACAATATGTAATTTCATTTTATAAAAACTTATTAACTAAATACATCTTTATAAATGTATTTTTCTACAATTCAGAAACTAAGTTTGAGAAACTGTATTAAGTACTAGATCAAGTACAAAAGACTTTCTAATGATACAATACTTTGATCAAAATTTGAGCACTCTAGATAGTCAAAATTAGTTGAAATTTTGATTGCAAAATTTGCACCACTCACAAAAAGCCACAAATATAAATTAAGAAAAATTTGATAATCAAAAGAAAAATTGTGATACAAAGACTTCAGAGGTCAGTTTAGATGAAAATAAGGAGAAGAGGTTGGATGACCCAACGTTCATCCTTCAGAGACACAAAAATGATTTAAAAAGTAAACTCACTGAGGTTCCCATCTGACACAAGGCGTCTTGAGCTCTCTCCACTCTCGTTTGCTTCTCACTCAGGGCAAACGTTCTGGTGAGATGAGAACAGAACTCCACTGATATACCAACTGCCTACAAATAATAATATGAGTTATAACACTGTTCATAATATTATTGTTTGATGGTAGAAACATTAAAATGCAAATGAAACATTTATTTCATATTCAATATATTACACTTTTTTACACTATAATATTTTCCTAAAACTAATCTAGTGCAGTTATGGCTTATCCATAATTAGATTAAATACAGTCAGGTGATTTAATCAAATTAAAACATAACAAAGACAATCATTTTTATTGAAACACAGGAAGATACCCAGTCTTTCTAGCATCTTGGGTAGATTCGCACTTGTCAGAAAACTATCTCGATATCTAATCTTACAAAATGCATGAGCAGGACTTTTGAAGATAACCAAGACTAAGAAGTCAGCTACTTCATTACACAAAAGTGGTACACATGCGATTTGGTTGCATAAAAATGACACCTAAGTGGTTTGGTTGCCAAAAAAAGGTGTACCCATGTGGTTTGGTAGTCCAAAAGAGGTACCATTGTAGCAGTAGGGTACCCATTAGAAAACAACATTTTCCTCATTTATTATCAATAACTCCTAACAGTTTTGTCTGCACTTTGGAGCTCCTATCACCCTGGTTTAACACAATAAAATAACATTCTGTAATGTTTTTTTTTTTAATGATTCATAATCAAAGTTTATAACAGCATCAAATTCAGCATTTTGAACTTATTTACTGCACAACTGAATAAAAGGTAGGTTTAGGTGGGTAAGGAATAAAATATGCATTATCATACGTAGGAAATCTCTGGAAAATTCATTCTCTTTGGGGAAAAAATTGTTTCTTTCCAGATTGCAAAAACTTTAGCAAAAATATACACAATTGCTTGTAAAACTCAAATTCATTAAAAAAACGAGAGAAAAAATAAAGAATTTTAAAAAGAAAAACAATATGAATTTGGACTTGTCAGCAATTTCATAATTCGATATAAAATCTGCATAAAATATGGAAAATCAGTACCTTTCCCGCAGATTTTCAATAAATTTATTTTTTAAAGCTTTGGACTTTAAATTGTCAGAAAAATATGAAGCCATCACTTTGCATTTGACTGGCATTTCTGTCTCGACACATGCTTTGTCCAAAAGCAGAAAAATAGGGTATGACACAGTTGCAGAAAACCTCGAGCATGTGGTATTCTGAAAAAACAATCTGCAGGCATTGCAGATTGTTTTTTCCCCCATATTTAAAATTATATAATAATATACTGCAGCAAGCAGAGTCAATTTTTTTTTGCTTCAAAGCAAATAAAATTGTCAAAAAAATATTTCGATTCTCATTGATGAACAATAATGTATCATCCCTCCCCCTTTTGAACTTTGACACCCAAAACAATTCATCAGACAGGTGCAGGCGGCTAGTAGGGCTTCGATAAAAAAATTGAAAAAACTTAAAGTTTAACTCTAAAATATAATCACAAGGAGCGAAAACATATTTAAAAAAAGGGGGAAATATTCCTTTTTTTAAAAAAAAAATTTGCTTTTTTACCTATATTTTAAAATACTACTTATGTGATATTATGATTAGATTATATATTTAGAATAAACTGATTTGACATTTAGAAGCTCAAACTATAGATTTCTTCCATTTTTCATTTTATGTATTATTGTGTAAGTTTTTAATTAAACTGAAGGAATCATACATTATACAGCTTTTTTATTGATCTTATATTTATAAGAGAAAATTTTGTTATATATATGCTTGAGTTAGCTAAATTATTCCAATAACAGTTAGTCTGAAAAAGTTTAATCCGGAGTGATATATCTTAGAGATATTTATTGAATAAATATTGAACTTAATATCGATTTTTTCCATTTAGTTACTTAGAGGCTTTAACTATGGTGTTAGTCTATCGTTAATTTAAGCTTTGCATAAGTTCAAAGATGAATTTAAACATACATTTCTTGTATTTCTTATAAACATTTCACTATTTGCAAATTATAATTTTACAACACAATTGTATTTGAGTCAGAAGCCAATTTTGATTTCTAAAGATAGTGTTGCAGATTATCACAGAAAATATGAAGACCGGAGATATGATCAGGACAACACACTAACTGCTATGAGTATGTATAATTCCTGCATAGGTCAACATAACTACACACAAACTTAGACCCTTCAATGACGCAACTATAACATTGATAAATTACTACGCAGTGCAAAAACAACATGACATACATCAAAAGGTAACACAAAAAATAAGCATGATGATGTCTGAAAGATAACAAAAATAGGCAACAAAAAACAATTATTTTACAACAAAAATTAGCACAGAAGCACAAGTGATAGCTTCATTTAAGCTCTCACATAATTCACATAATGATAATGCCTATGCAACAGAAAGTAAATTGTGATGATTACACCTGATTTTAAAATACATGCAAATCTCAAAGCATGACATAAAAAAGATGTGATGAACCATTCGATCTTCCTAATGACATATCACACGTACACACTAACGGGTGTAAATAAAAAAACCAAATGTAAACTAAACGCAATAATTTTAACTAGTAACATTCACTAATCAGCAGCAGAACGTTATAGACATTAAACAATTAACTAGTTTGTATAAAAACTAAAATATGCACATAAACTAAATTTATTATCATAAGCAAAATTTCTACATATTGAAGAATATATCAGGCATAAATAGTTAGGAGATGAACCCTTCGTTAATAGAACAATAAAAATTAAAAACATTTGTTTTGCAACCTACCCTTTCCATAATATTTATGTTTTAAAGAATCAACAAAAGCTACTTTAAAATTATATGCCATTATGAGTAAAAAAATTTCCTTTAACTTAACACTTACTACAAAAATATAAAATTACACATTGCGATAAAAACATTGAAAATACAATTTTGCAAAAAACGTTACGCATCAAGATATCAAATTTATATATACGCACCACAACAAGATTGACTAGTGACACTGCATTCAATGATATGTCCCAGAAATACATGAGGCCCATTATGTTTAATACAATGGTCACCACAGCAACAGTAACGATAGCAGCCGAGTGGAAGTCGAGTCCGAGTAAAAGAAAAGTGGCCACAAAAATGGCTGCAACAGAGAGCCCTAAGCTTCTCAATGTATCTGGCCACATTGTCAAATATTGTTCATAAAACACATGCACCAAACTAAAGAAAGAAAGAAAAATATAAATTAAAAAATGTTTGTTGAAAGTAAATTTTTTTACTGTAAACTGTGAGCAAAAAGTAAAATTAATATTTTTAAGAGAATCACTTTCAATCACTTCAATGACTATACTATTGGAATCCTATTTTTCAGGTAGTGTCCAACCCTGGACTCGTAAAATATTAAAAAATTTTCTTGCCCTTCTGGGCATGTATCTACAAAATACATGCTCAAATCAATGTTTTACACATTTGAATCTTTTTTGAATAAGCAATCATTATTTAATTGCGGCTCTCATTTGCTTTTATATTTTAGTTTCAAATTTTATATTTGTTATTTAAGCACAAGGATTGTAATACACATTTTTTAAATTTTTTTTATAAAAATATGCATGAATAAAGTACAAATAAAAATAAACTAACTTTATTTAATAAATTCTGGTTTACATAATTAAATTCAGAAACAGTTATGTCTCATCAAATACAAATGATTTGTTTTCTACTTTTATGGTGCAATTGATTCCTAATCATCTTGGTGGGTCCCATGTGTAATATTAGACAACTTTTTTTTTTGTCTAATTTTAGATATTACATACAAAGATATCTTCACAAATTTTGCTGTGTAGTGACTTAATCACCTGTCAGTTAAAAATATTGCAAAATATTTGATTTAAGTGCAAAACATTTCAACTAATAAAATATGCTGTGACAGGCAGGGATGAAATGGTTCCTAATTATGAGTCAGAATTTTTAGTTAAACTAGACAAAACTCAACTTTTAGACCTGAAATGATAAAAGTTTTAAACTGTATTTGGGTATTTTTTTTATTATAAATTAAAATATTTAATTTTTATTATGCAAAAATGTTACAAATGTTATGTTTTATGAATGAAATATAAAAGGAATACTTAAAAGTTTTTAATATTTTCATGAATTTTTTAATGTTGAGGCTATAGTGGCAGTTTCTTAATTTATACTAGATAACCTGGTCATGACTTTTATATCAACTTTTTTATGTCAGCTGGTACTGAACATTTAATCTAATATTATTTATTTTCTGTTTTTATAAATAATCCATGAATTGACTTATTGAAACATTGAAATATCTCCTTCTTGGATTTGAAACACCTATTCCCCAAAGCTGTTATTAGAAGTGCAGTCTCTGTAATTTATCTGGTTTTAAAGTTGTAAAGTGTAAATTTTTTTACATTTTAAAACACAAAACCAGATGAATAAGAACAAAAGTAATGTGCCTTCCTAGTCATTCCTTTTATCTCAATTATTACATATTAACAGTTTACTATCTAGATCTAAATTTGATTAATAAATCTTTCCCTGGACTCGAATAAGGTATTGATAGCAAGGTATATCTTAAATACTTTTTAGATATAAAAGAGACCTTTATTTTTTATTGTTTTTCTAGCTTAATTTAGCAAAATTAAGTAATTCTTTAGAATTAGAGCTTGATTAATTTAACATGCAATCATTTGTACAGAAACTGATGGCTACTTTTTTGTTGTTACATCAATACAATTATAATGAACTTTATTGTTAGGAGTTAGAGATAATTTGGATTAATATTGAACTAATTTTTAAATAACGTTACCAAAAGCTTGATTATTTCTAAATGCTTCATAGGGACTACTGATAACTTTTAGTTTTTTTACTTTATTTATTTTTTTAAGATGGTATTATTCAATATTTATTCTGTCTTTCACTAGACAGACTCTTTTCTGTTATTATTTTTTTATAATCAAATTTTTCTTGACAAAAAGTTTTTTCTGGCCTTTCAGTCGCTATTTAAGGTAATGATAATTAAAAGTAATCCACTTTTAAGACTATCAATGTTGTAGTATTACTTTGATTTTAAATGCTTCTTTTTTCTTTTTATGGGTAACAATATTCCAATTAATATTAAGAACTGTGCTTTAAATAATTGCAACATTTAAGCGTCCATCACGTATAATTTTGAAATATCCACCTGTTCATTCTTCACTTTTGTTAGTACTCTAATAGACTAGAAAATTTTGTTTGGAATCCTAAGCAGATCATAGAACAGGGTTCAGTGTTAAAATTGAGAAGTCAAATAATGCCATAAGTCTTGTCATTATCACTGGCAAAAGAAATATTTGCTAAATTGCAACTTGTTACCATATGTGACAGTAATGATAAATGTGACAAACAAGGCAAATTTTAAACCTTAATATTTCAGTCAATTTCCGAATTTATTTTTCATTTTTTATAATTTACTCATCTCTTATTACAAAAAAAAAAGAAGTTCAAGCTTTTTTGTGACAGATATAACATGACTATTCTTAACTGCTCACCTGTAAGGCATGACTGTAACTTCAGAATCACCAGAGATATTTCGCAGAGAAGCAGTGATGTTTTTTGAAATAGTTCTTGACCAATCCAAAGCCTCATAAAAATCTTTTGATGTTTTCAGAACAGTATGATAAGTCATGAAGTTGGTAGCTGAAAATATATTGAATCGATTTATTATGAGTGATATAACTAACATTAAATTGATTTATCAAAATGCAAAATGTTACCAGCGATTCTAGTTGCATTTTCGGAAGACAACAACTCGACTGAAGAACGGAACATTGCTTTACCTCTGTAAGAAATAAAGCTATTTTAAGAATGCATGTGATCATAATCAGTTAGTTATCATAAGAAACAACAGTTTGAATTTCTTAGATGGTAGCTTCTAAAACAGTGTCATCTAACAATTTTTATAAAACAATTATTCTGAAAGTTTTAAGCTAAAAAAAATTATTTAGCTCCTGAAAGTCAATTATCCCTGTCCATTATATTAAATATTAAAGTTTTTGAAAAAGATTTCCAAGTGAAATTACATAGAAAATAACCAAGATTCTGCAATATTCACAATTATTATAAAATATACTACTTTGTGATAAAAACACAATCCACAGAGCTAAACCTAATAATGAAAAATCCCTTATATATCAGCATCTTTTCACTTGATTGGAAATAATGTATTTAATCATTATGTATTTAATCTTTGTATGGCTCCAGAATAATGTCTGGCTGCGTCAGAAAAATTAAAAGAGAATAGCGCTTACCCTTTTGGACATGCATTCCAGGGAGAATCATTGAGGAAGAAGTCGAGCCTTCTCGTGAATTCAGCTTCAGACAATGTAGATGGGTCTTTGACTCTACAAGATTTACACATGCCTGCAAAAAAAATTATTTTATTGTATGCCATGAATGACGGTGAAACATTAAGCAAATTTAAATCATTTCAACTCTACCTTTCATTAGATGGGCTGTGTAAGAAGGGCAGTGAGTTCCATTTTCTTTAAACTCAAAACAACAAGAATCTGCTTGCAAATAATCAAGATAATTATCCATCCATGATATGGGCTGAAGAGCAATGTAAGTCCTACAATGATAAGCAAAAGTTTCTGATTATCGATTTCATTGTATCAATACACATTTTGGGTGATAAATATTAAGTACAAAGTTTATTTATTGTTTGCCAATTTTGCTATGCATTTTCATTATTAAAATAGATTTCTCAAACGCTCTTCAAGAGAGAGAGAGATAACAGGAAAGTTTTGCAAAGCAAAAAAATTCAGTCCCAGAAGTGCAATGAATGAAAAATTAAGGAAATGTTTCGTTAGATGTGTTGGAGATTTTCTTAAGCTTAATATAAAGCAAAATCTTATAGATCTTACTAAAAATATAGATGTTTTACACACTTTATATTATTCCACAAGTAGAGAATTTAAATAATCTTTTTTGAAATCAGTAAAAAGAAGAAAAAAAATTACAAACACTACATATTATGAGAAAAATTATAATTCAAATTGGTAGCTATTTTCAATGCTTATAATAGGTATTAAAATACACTTGAATAAAGTTTTTTTTATTACATGCATTACATTCTTACATATTTATATAAAAGTTAGTTTTCTTAAATAACATACTAGTTTAAAAGTTCTTATGACAACAAAAAACTTAATTTTTTGGATATATTTATAAACAAAAAGTTCTCAATCAAGAATAAATATTACAAAAAAAAATCACATTTATTACTTTTTTATAAATTAGACTTCCTTTCATTATTAAGTAGTGTTACTTAATTAAAGTCTCAATTAAGTATTAAGTTTAGACTTAGAGATAAAAGTAAAAACATTCTCTCAACAAAATTTCATTTCTGTTTGATGAATTTTTTAAGCATTTCTCTAAGTTTTTTAAGCTGTTTAAAACATTGGAAATCAGAAGGTCCTCAAAATATGCATCTGAATCATGAATCCTTTTCCACCTTCTAGCCTTTTTACAAGATTGGGAATTAAAAAAAAAGAGAACACCTCCTTGTCAGCCAAATTTAATATATTTCAAGATAGATTGCCTCCAAAAACTAATCTAGCCTCATTTTTTGTTATGTATTGAAACAGAAACTTGCCAACATTGTAGGGGAAAAACACTAAATGAAGCTCTAAATGATTCCCACGATTGCACTTATTTTAAACTGAGAGAAAATGTGGTATAATTTAGTTTTTGTTAAATTTTTCATGTAAAATTTAAGAAAAACTGTCTCTTATGATGTGCCTACTTTCTCGAGTACATAATCTACTCGAGCTGCAGTGATGGAGATAAAGTGCTTGCCTCCTAAGAGAGAACACTCTAGTTCAAACTTTACTTTCTGCTACTACTCGACAGGAACTCTACTCCCGGCTTGCACCAATAACAGTACTGACGTAAAATATCCTTAGTGTTAGACAGATATTGGGTCAGAATTCAGTTGCTGTAAAGCTAATCGCGGGAGTCTTTTATAGTTTTCCCATTCAATATAAGGCAAATGTGGGTAAGATCGATGAAAAAGTTCTCTACAAAGGCTAGTTTGTTTAAATGCTGGATTCAGGAATTTCCTTGCTTTCTGAGTTGGGTTCAAAACCACAGGGCTGAACAATAATAGTCATAAATCTAAAAATAATTTGGTTTTTCTTCCCTGGTTATAAAATAAATAAAAATGATTGATCTATTTTAATTTAAAACCAGATTCTTTTCCTTTAATTCATCAGCCGCTCCTAACCATAATGTGTATTTTGTAAGTCATATCAAACAAAGTCACTTCTACTCAAAGGATGTTCATAATTAGTAGAAAGTTTAGTCTCATTTTCCCAATTATGAACAATCACAAACATATAGTCTAGTCCAAAGCCAGTCATCACTGTTATGGTTCTGAGATTAAACTATTTCAGGTAAACATTTTGACATGGGTCAAGAATCGAAAGCTCCCCTTTTCTAGAGTAGTTCTTTATATAGACAGGAGCAGATTAATTCTGTCTCTTTCGATGCCTTTTTGTGTTTAATAACTGAATGAAGATCATTTCTTTCCACTTTTTTTTTGTATTTAACTGACGCCACATAAGGAGTTGATAACTGAAAGCAAGCTTCTTTTTTTTACACAAAGATCTTCTGCATTTTCTAAAGAGAATGACCCCTTACTACAATATTCTGTAGATGCTATGAATACACAGTAATTAAAAAATAATGTACCTGTTTTGGATCATAGCCATTCTACCCAACTGATAAGTAATAGAATCTGAGTCACAAGATACTTGGGAAGAGCAGACTTTATTCTGACCCACAGGATTGGAGTAGTTGTAACCATCGCTGATGATGAAGTACACGGGAGGTCCGACAGAGAGGTACTTTTCAAGGTGTTCAAAGTATTTAAGCATGTAAGAATCCTTCAAACAAAAATACACATAAATGATCGGGCAGATTATTTCTAACACTTAGAGTTTAATTTAAAAAGATTCTAAGTCAGCATTTTTAGCAGTCAGTTTTGTGTTTAAAAAAATATATATATTGGTGTTTACCAACAATTAAATATACCTGTAAAAATATAATAATAAATAGACACCTATTACTATACCTATGACAAATATGTATGCAATGTGCACTTCATAGTAATTAGTAAAACATGCTAGAGAAGAAAAAGTTTAAAAAAAAGCTTCATTTTTCATACAAAGAAAACAACTTTATTGTATTCACTTAGCTAACACAACTTTAAGAAAACTCAAAACAAGTGATCAAAGTTTAAAGAACCCTTAATGGAAATTTTGACAATTTTATCTTTCACGAGAGAGCAGATTCACACTGGACAGTTTTAGTCTGAAATAGTACTGGATTACCCATTAGGCCAGACTAGGCCATGGCCTGGGGCCCCCAATGATTAGGGGCCCCTTAAAATGGATTTTTTGAAAATAAATTCTAAAAAATTAAGAAAAACAATGATTTTTCAAAATGTTATGATTATTTTTTAGTTCTAATTTAATAAAATAAAGTAAAATTTAATTTATTATTTATTTTAATTTTAAATATGCTTTCTTACATGAAAAGATATATAAATATTTTTATATTTGAAGAAATAAAAAATATACGAGAAAAAAATTTAATCTAAGGGCCCCAAAAATTTGAATGGCCTAGTGCCTCGCGTACGCTTAATCCGACCCTGGTCTGAAGTCCTTCTCGGCAGAGAACTTTTGAGTGATGCCCCATATTACTAGTACTATAGAATCGTTTCGAAAAAATTGCAAAAAAAAAAAAACAGGATAATCTTTAAAATAAAACAGGACATTTTTGGGAACAGTAAGTATATCATGTTACTTCTAAAAAAGGCAAACATCGAACAAAAAAGTATAAGTTGCTCTACTTAGCAGCAATGAAAGGACATTTAAACCAGAAGAATAAAAGAAATACAATTTTTATTTTCAAAATTACTTCGTTTAGAACACAAAGTTTTAACAGCTTCCAGTATAATTTTATCAATAATGAACAACTCATAAGAGTTTCTAATCAATGCATGAACAAATTTTCTAATACTATAGCATTAAAAAAATAATCAGCATCAATAAGTTAATATTCCGCCATACCATTATGTAATTAATGTGTAATGGAATTAAAGATTTTCTTAAATAAATAATTTTAAACTAGGGCTCCGATAATCTCGAAATGAAAACACAGTGAATATGCCTCTAACATATTTTGTACCAAAGTAATTTAAGTGGGCGATCCCTCAATTTATCATTTAAAAGATCTATGACATGATTACTGTATCTTTGATTGGAATCGATCACTTTTTAAGTCGCTTGAATAAGATGAATAACTTACTGTGAAACTACAAAACTCCATCCAATCCTACAAGATTTTATACAGTATTTGTTGAAAATAATTAGCACATTTTCATATTTATAATATAAAATTGATAATATAAAATTAATAATCGAATTTCCTTTTTATAGAATGTCTAAATTGGCAAAAAGTTTGAAACAATAAACTTGTGGGTAAGGCTAAATATCTGAACCATTTATACAATCAGCAGATGGTTCCTAAGTTGAAAATGTTGCCGTTTCTACTATCATTATAAATTAAAATAAAAAAAGGTTGAATCAAAAAATTCAAATATTTTGACTCATTGACAAATCTATTTTTTACAGCATTTGTATTTGTGTTCTTTAAAAAAGAGATGTTTTGAACAAACACAAAAATCAGGAATATCAGGATAAAAAGCAAAATATTAGGACAAAATATATTTAATCTGGAAAATCAGGAAAACTATGAACCCTGTGGTATTAAACCCCAAGTTAGTTTAATCTTGGCTTAGACTCACAATCAACGCCCCCTGTCCAGAATAAAGCTGCAGACCAGGAGTTTTGGAACTGCTGTTCTACATTATTGTATTGAGATTTTTCAGCAAAAAAACTTATTTTAGTCTTACATTAATTTATTCTGCCAAATTTAAAATATTTGTGGTAGAAGGTACTCAGTGATAGTCTTTGAGCGCTTTTTTGGTGAAACATGATTTTAAGTGCATCTGGTGAGCCCAAGTAAAGTAAAATGCCGAGAGTGTGAACAGTTTAAATGAAGTGCCAATTGACGAAATCTATTAATCCATATTAATAGATTTTGCCAATTGGAAGTTTGAGAAATTTAATAAAGGCAAAGTTATTTTCCAATATTTTGCCAGTAGACAAATGTTTTGGAAAGCATTTCATATCAACAAAAATAATAACCACTACTATTACAAGCTAAACAGAACACGCAGAAGCTAACTAAGCAGCATAGAAGACACAAAACTAATGCTTTTATTAGGGACAGTATAAGCACAGAAATTAATGTTTTAATTAGGGACACAGTATTAGCACAGAAATTAATGCTTTAATTAGGGATGCACTAAATAGTGACTTTGCCTAATGCAGACTGTTTAATCTTCTAACTATTTGGCTGGCCAAATACTAATATTTCAATATCTAGCCACCAAATAGTAATTTTATAATAATGAATTTTTTTTATAAAAAAAATCCTTTAATATAGATCAGGGATTTTCAAACTAGGTTCCAAGGTATCTTGGAACTCTGGGGAGTTCCAGAGTGATTTTCCAAGGTGATGTTGGAGATGAGCTTATTACCTCTGGAACCGATAACTTCTGATCAAATCCAATTTCGATTTTATCCAAAACAGCAGCTGAACAGCAAAGCCATGCAATAAACGATGTCATCTAAATAAATAAAAAATAAATATAGATACTAAAAACTTCAATCAGAGAATGTAACTATAGGGATGGAAGATTTGAACTTACAACAAAATATCGAACAGAATTTTTCATTAGAAATGGAGCGTAGAGGTTTTTAATAGTTTTAAACATAAGACCTTCTTTCACAGACGTTGTTTTTGACTTATTTGAAGTTTTGAAGCAGCAACATAAATCTAATCTTTGATTCTAAAAAAGAATTTTAAAAAAATCATTGTTTACTACCTATATGTTATATTACAACTCAGAAGATGATGCTATGTTGACAACAGAATCAATTTGGCCTGCATACAATTAGTTATCACAACTATGTATTTTATATTTTGACACCTGGTGGCTACAGTGGTAGTGCTTTTTGTTTCTATGTCACAGGGTTCTATCCTTGGATAAAGCAAGGTTGACACAGCCTTCCATCTTTTCAGTGGGTTGATAAAATCAGTACTAAACACTGGGGGTTCTAAGTTCAACTGACCACTCAACCAGAGCATCTGTTCCTGCACCCCAGATCCAAATTCAAGAGAACTAGGATGGGGACAGTAGACCTTAAACCTTCATAGACTGTCATGCCATAGAGTTTAGTTTTATCTGACACTTTGCAAGAAGTTTTCCAACACTTAAAAAGTTTTAAAACCAGATAATAATTCATAAAACAAATTTATATTAGCATAAATGTATAAGGAAAAAAAACGTCTCCTATATAATTTAATAATGATAAACAATGCTTGAAATTAGATAAAAAAAAACATGCAGCTGTTCCTGGTGCTATAAACAAGCATCATGATCAATGCTAAACAGACAAAATTGAATGTAATTAACAATCTATGTTTAAAGCAATCTGAAATAATTTTCCAGCCTATAAAGTAATAATTCATGCAGTACACATTAATAAATTCCTATTGCAATACAGTACACACAACAGAACACAATAGTTTCTACAACGACAATTAAATGCTCAAAAATTTAGATTTAGAAAAGGTGAACCAAATAATCATTTTTATGAATAATAAGAAACACAGTTTTTATTGCTAAGATTTCTCTATTATACGCACAAGTAATATAGAACCATAATAATGCTTCTCTATAATATTTGAGTTCCTTTTAAAGTTTACCTTGATATTTCTTAAAAAAAATAGATAGAATAAACTAAAGAATGAAAGACGTACTTCTTGACGTCGGCAATCTAATATGAAAAGAGCCAAAAAACAAGTCATCTGCAAAAAAAAGTTCACAAGTAGTGCAACACCTGCATACAATGCAAAGAGACGCACAGCAGGCATGTCTGTCAGGGTACCTAAAATTAAATAATAATCATAATAAGAGATTAAATCAAAATATTATAAATCATAATAAATTCACTAGATTATGTGAATAAAATAAAATGCTTGTTTTCATTAAGATAACCTATTAAAAATGTCTGACATAAAAACAATTTTAAAATATTTGCATTGAGATGACACATTAATTAAAATAATGATGGTAAGATATAAATCAGTTTTGCAGGATCCCGTGCAGAATAAGAGGTTCCTGGACCAAAAAGAATAATGAAATAGGAAGAATTTTTCCAGGCTATATAAACCCTGAATCTATTAGCAATAATTGACTTTTATTCTCCATCCATTGTTTCATGCATGGTTTCAATACAACTGATATTTATCATTTCATCAACGTCTCATTCAAAATTTGTACAAATTATTTGACTATTAATTAAAATACTTCTCAAAGTTCTTCTGAAATTAACAAACCATAAAATCAAACCAATTCAAAGGTTGTTAAACTAATCTTATTTAAGGTGGGAAATTTTTTTTTATTATTTAATTTTTTTGTTTACTGCCTATCAGTTTAGGCCATTCTATCCTATAACAGTTAAAAAACTTCATTATTATTTTTTAATTTAAAAAAAGAATTACAATTGATATTTAGAGAATCTAAAATAATTTATAAAGCAGAAATGAATGTTAAATGAATGAAACACAATTTTCATTTTTTTTTTAACTAAATAGATTAACAATGGAAAAATAATGAATAAAATCAACACATACCAATGAAAAAACAACTGGACATGGAGATGCTGGATAAAAGCATGCTGGGTGCAACTTTTCCAACCACAAATCCAATCCTTTCATCCAATGTTTGATTAGCTTTTTTTTCTTCTCTCTGTAATATTAATCTCTGTAATATTAATCCTCTCTCTGTATATTATATATGCTGGATTAAAAGTAAGGTACGATTTTTAAATCTATAAACACTTCTTTTGCCATTGATAAAACTTTAAAAGTTTCATCCTTATGAACCAAAGGTTGATTTACCAAAAGGCATTAGGTGAAACAGTATTGTAATATAAAAAAAAATTCTGATTCAAATTGAAATTCATTCCAGAGTCATATGAGAGAGATAGTCATAGCTTTCAGTTAAAAACAAAATATTGTGATTTAATATGTAAACAAAACTACATTAAATTTATAATGTTAACATTTACCAGAAACACTCAGAAAAAAAACCCAGACTTTTCAAACTTATTTTATCAAATTTCCTTGATTTTTGTAACTAATAGTATAAATTTCAATTTTTCTAATTTTTCTGTTCTGTTTCATTTGTGTAATAAAAAACATTACAAAAACACGAAACATTACTTGTTATTAAAAATAAATATTACAGGGTTCCCACTCTATGATGAGATTGAAATTCAAGGACTTTCCAGGACTTTTCAAGGACCTCAACAAAATTTTCAAGGACCTTAATCTAAGACCAATTTTAAAAATTATTCTCTTCTATTTTACTAGAAGCAACAATGCTTGTTGTGGCAATAATTAATTTCAAATATAATACCTAAATGCTTTGCCTATATAGAGAGAAGAGAGTATATGTATTATGGACTAAAATTTATATTTTTTTAAAAACAACCCTACTGGTTTTACATATTAATTCACAAAATCATTTTCAGCACAATCTATAACTAATGGTAATGAGGTGTTAATGGTGAAATCCTTTAATCCTGTGTATTTCCATGTGAAGGCTGCATGAAAGACAGAGCTAAATCTTAGGTATTCCATATTCCATGACTATTCCATAACCCCCTCCTCTCCTCTATTAAACATCGTTTCTGAAATTATTCATCCATAATTTACACAACCTTCTCTAAATGTTATGCAGCAACAATTCTTTCTGAAAATAAAAATTAGAAGGAACATATCCCATTTTCACCATGTTTAAAAGCATTATTCGTTATGTGTAATCCACAACTGCCAATGAATATGACCTGGTGGGAATATTTCTCTTTTAATTCACACTGAAGCTTCTAATAGAATTTCCAATTGACATAGGGTCCATCCATGGATAATTGAAGTATTTTAGAGAGCTTTTAACCATCATCCATGCATTTGTAAAAAGAGGACAAAATATTTTCTGCAGTTCCATGACCCATAAATTGGGAGGTAAGATACTTAGTGCAAACTTTATTATCAATTCCTTACCATAATGTCCATCTGCTTAGATTGTAGAGACTGATTTAACGTCTCATCAAAGAGTACAGTGTAGCAATCAACATTCTTCAGCTCATTTATAAGAATCCCTTTGAAGTATAGTGCCAATCCAAAGGAGCCCAAATAGGCTCACTTTGTGGCACTACAAAAAAATTGTCTCGCTATACAGCTATCAGCAAACATTTTGGAGAACAATTTACTAATCCCTTCACAGGAGTTACATGAATAATTACTAGTGATGCACTTCAGACTCCAGAGAATTTCAGCATCAAGCACATTCCTTTTGACCAGATAAGAAGACAATGTTACCTCGGCCACTAAAGTTTCTGTTTCACATGGGGCACACGATGTTGAAGGAGTATTTACACCAGATGAATTAGATGTTGATGTCTTTGGAAAAAGAGAACTCAGGGCATGAGACTGCTTTTTTGTTTTACCTTTCTTTCATGTGTGATTTCAGAGCAGATTCTTCCATTTTCGCGATATCGATCTCCTTCATGCATAATCGGCACTTGGCTCTGAACTTCTTTTCGGGCATCGATAAAATCCATTCTTTATAAGCTTGATTATCCATCCATTGGGGATTAAAATAGCACTTCCCAGGCATAACTAGTCTAAACTACATAACACAAATACGAAGCCGTGCCTTTGCGAATACGCTTTACAATAAAGTTTTGAAATGACGCAAACGTAAGGACAAGTGCGGATGGTAAAACGGCAAATTTATTGAAAACTACAAGGTACATATTGTTACGAAATTCGAGAGTATTCCAGTTTCGATAAGAAAAAAGAAGATCTAAGCATATGCGACAGAAGATGAAGTGGAGTCTCGCCCCGAACGCATTGATTGTCTGCTGTGCTCCGCGCGCTTGGCAGACACCAAGACGCTAGGCCCGGTTAGAAACGGTGGCGTTAAAAACCACGTGAGAGAGCTCGGGAACAAAACAGAAAGAACGAGAAAGATCCGCGGGTGTTTTATAAAAAGGGCCGCCGGCAGTATTGGACAAATTCAAGGACCTATCAAGTTTTTCAAGGACCTAAGACGTTTTTCAAGCACTTTCAAGGACCTAAATTTAGCAACAAAAAAATTCAAGGACTTTCAAGGACCGTGGGAACACTGTATTAACAATTTTTTTAAAAAATAACAACAAGAATTAAGTTAACATATTACTTGAAAGGAGGTAAACAGAAATAAAATAATAATAATTAACACTCACAGTTTTTTTTAACAGTTATTACTATTGCGGTGACTGAACTTAACTTAATTGTAACCGCGATCAGTAACTGTCTCTGTCACTTTCACCAGAAGAATCCTAAATGCTATTGTAGAATGACGTGCTGTTCTTGTTTCATATTTTCCCTTTTTATACTTAAATGTAAAATAAAGACTAATTAAAATGTAAACTCAATCTATTCATCACCTGGACACAACCAACTACTACAGTGGTGACAGCCTGACGATCAAATATTAAGGAGATTATGTTTCAAATGGAATAACTTGTTTCTCTTTGGATATCGGAAGTTTAATAAAAATGGTACTGCAGCTTTTCAATTTTTGTTTCTTAATTTCTGTCGGAATGCATACTGTATATTAATTTAATTTCATTACATATATACATTATTACATTTTAATATGCAGTCGAATAACGCTGAAAATACTCACATAGATAAGGTTGTACTTAAATTACCCCCCTTTTGGCGTACAAATATTAAACTTTGCTTTTTACAAGTTGAAAGTGCATTTACTTTATCTAACATAACCAAAGATGAAACTAAATACGCAAGTTTTATTGCACATATCAATGCAGAAACGCTATCTCATGTATCAGATTTGTGATTTTCACCCCCTGCAACTAATAAATATGGTACTTAAAAGAACATCTCATCACCGAATTTTCGAATTCGGAAAGGGAAGGCATTTGAAAACTACTTTCAGAACTTAAATTAGGAGACCAAAAACCCTCTCTTCTCCTACGACAAATGCGAGAAGTTGCTACCGATTCAGTAACTGAGGAGTTTCTTAAAACAATATGGTTGCAACGTTTACCCCCCAATGCAAATCTATTTTATAAATTTTAACAGATCAAACGCTGACCGGCCTGTGTAGGAGGCAGGGAACTGTCCTTGCATCAGAAACGTGCATATACCGTTATACACGTTGGCCAGAAGTTATCCCTGTAACAGACATGTCAGCAACCACTATTGCATCAGCATTTTTCACAGGCTGGATTGCCCGTTTTGGCAGACAGAGGAACAAACTTTAAATCATCATTGTTCCTCAGCCTGACGAAATTGCTTGGAATTGAACGTTGTCGAACGACAAGCTTTCAACCTCAAAGCAATGGCTTGGTAGAAAATTTTTATCGGCCACTCAAAGCCGCTTTGAAGTGCCTTGTAGCAAAAACAGACTAGACAGATGTTCTACCAGTGGTTCTCCTCGGTTTGCGTTCCACAGTTAAAGAGAGCAACGATGCAACACCAGCTGAACTAGTCTATGGTGAAACTTTACGCTTCCCAGGTGATTTCTTGATTCCTACTCCAAATGATGATCCTCCACAAGAATTTGTCTGTAAATTACGACGTCTATTCGAAGACTTAATACCTCGACCGACACCACACCATGATAATTGTAGAATTTTCATACACCCTGAACTTAAAACTTGTCCCATGTATTCGTCCGTAGGGACTCAGTTCGAAAACCTCTACAACCTCCGTATGACGGACCATTTAAAGTCATCCGGAAAAGTGAAAAACATTTCACTATCATCATACGTGAGAAAGAACAGACTATTTCTATTAACCGTCTCCAACCAGCATTTCGACTATTTCAATCCGAACCAAACAAGATCCAAACTTTTCCCTCAAAAGAACCGAATCTACCAAAAGATTCTCTGGACATATCAAAGACAACTGAACAAAGGACTAGATCAGGCCGTAGAGTTACCTTCCCCAATCGTTACACATCAGCACCCTGATACTGGCGGGGGAGAGTGCGGCGACTGAACTTAACTTAATCATAACCGCGATCAGTAACTGTCTATGTCATTTTCACCAGTTGCTCTTGTTTCATATTTTCCCTTTTTATACTTAAATGTAAACTCAATCTATTCATCTCCTGGACACAACCAACCACCACACTATTATTAATAAGGTAGCTGTGAGAATAACTGAGAACTTACTGTAGCAAACTGTTCTTAATCAATTCGTGTTAGTTTGCATAAATGCCTATGATTATATAAGGTTTTCTGAATATTGATCTTCTTACTATTTCTAATAAATGTACAGATTGATCTATGATACATGTATATATTTATGTAACATACATACATGTATAATTAATCAACTTTTGCTTGATGCTTTCGAGCATTTATAAAACTTGTACATAATTGCATTGATGCATCAATAAACCAAAAACACTTTTAGAAGATATCTATTTATTATTGTAAATTGAAGGTAAAAAACATAAATATAAATTGAAATAATATAAATCCAATGTCTTACCAGTAAAATTTAGGAAATATTAATTTCTTATCAATAGTTGATTTAGAAACCGCAAGATAATAATAATACATGTGAAAAATAATCATGCCTAATAATGGAAATAGATTTGAAGCTAAATATTTTGAATCAGTCAAATAGTTTCGTAATATTGTATGTTAAAAATTCGATTTCTCAGAAACTAATCGACCGATTTCGATTAAATTTTTTGTTTTGCCTTATAATATTTTTTAAAATAATGTGAATATGTGCATACATTACAATTAAAAATTTTTTTCGCCTAGTGTTAAATAGAACAATGAAAAATTATTAATAGTTATAAAATCATTTTTGCATCTAGTTACCTTTGGAGAAACGAACTTTGTAATTATGTGCAAAAAATTTTTTGGTTATCTTAAAATATTCATGATATATGGCGAAATACACAAAAAATACAATTAATGTTAAAAGGACCAAACTTTCGACCTCTCTCCAAACCAAACCATTGAAACTAAATTTCCGAATTGCCGCAATCCCCCATAGAACAATAAAAAATTATAAATAGTTATTAAAAATCATTTTTGTATCAAATTGTCTTTGGAGAAACGAACTTTGTAATTATGTGCAAAAAATTTTTTGGTTATCTTAAAATATTCATGATATATGGCGAAATACACAAAAAATACAATTAATGTTAAAAGGACCAAACTTTCGACCTCTCTCCAAACCAAACCATTGAAACTAAATTTCCGAATTGCCGCAATCCCCCATAGAACAATAAAAAATTATAAATAGTTATTAAAAATCATTTTTGTATCAAATTGTCTTTGGAGAAACGAACTTTGTAATTATGTGCAAAAAATTTTTTGGTTATCTTAAAATATTCATGATATATGGCGAAATACACAAAAAATACAATTAATGTTAAAAGGACCAAACTTTCGACCTCTCTCCAAACCAAACCATTGAAACTAAATTTCCGAATTGCCGCAATCCCCCATAGAACAATAAAAAATTATAAATAGTTATTAAAAATCATTTTTGTATCAAATTGTCTTTGGAGAAATGAACTTTGTAATTATGCGCAAAAAATTTTTTGGTTATCTTAAAATATTCACGATATATGGCGAAATACACAAAAAATACAATTAATGTTAAAGGGACCAAACTTTCGACCTCTCTCCAAACCAAATCATTGAAACTAAATTTCCGAATTGCCGCAATCCCCCATATTTTCAGGGTTAAAAATTCAAATTCATCGATAAAAAGGTATGTATAATCAAAGAAAGTACATTTTGTGTCTTATTTTGAAACTTAAATTATCACCTGCACTAATTAATTAATATATTTAAAGTAACCACCTCAAATCATAAAGATTGAGTTCAAAAACATGAAAATCCAATCATTAGATCAAAAACATTTTACGGTGGTTCTATTTTTTGTGTACTGTACATACATACACACATATCATGTACAAGCATATATTGTAAACGCAATTTAAAGTGCAATAAAGAATAACCTAATTCGGCTTAAACTGGAAAAAAAAAAGAACAGAAAGACATACATAATTCATACCTGAAAGGCTTGTACCAATATAAAGATATTATCAACTCCCACGGCCAGTACCAAAAATGGAATAACTTCTACAATAATCAAAGTTGCCGGAACACCCAGAAAAGAAAAGATCCCCAATGAAGAAATAACAGAAACAAGCACAATCAGGACTCCAAAGAAGCCAAGAGTAAACTTGGACTCTAGCTAGTAAAATGCAAAGAAAAGATATTTAAAGCATCACTAAAAATTTTCCAAAAAAAAAAAGCATATTTAAGACCTACCAGTAATGTTTTACATTCATGAAATTCTCCTAAGGAAACAGTTATGTAAATAAACATTAGTATGTAACTGATCGCAACAGTAAGAATGTCAGAATGGCTCCCTCTTTCTATCTCATCTTGAATCGATCTCTGAAATAAGAATAAAAGACAACCATAAATAAACTTTTGAATGTATCTTACAGACTAAAGATTTTGAAACATTGATCCATTCCTGATCTTGTTCACATATACATGATTATGCGATTCGCCTTTCACGGCCCATAATATCATACGTGGGAGAGAGCGTTTCTTACACTAACAACCCATGATCACAATTTTAACAGCACTAAATAGAGACTGCAGTTCTTTATAATTTTGAATAATGTCTCACAGAGAGTTGATCTCTAATATGAGCTTTTGATTACAAGTTTTTTGTTTCTCTTTTAATTTTAATCTGAGGTAAACAACAATGTTCGACTCTTTCAAAAAGATTGGGCGCATGAATGCGTTCAAAGTTTTTGTTTATTGGTTTATGTGTAGGCTAGTGTGGTTTGAAGTTAAGGCTAGCATTTTGTTTGTTTTGGGTCAGTTTTGCAATCCTCTTTTAATATAACGAACATTTTCGTACACTGCATTCAGGTACTATTAAAGATCAAACTATAACTTTCAACTGTACATTTCAGTACATTTACAATACATTCTGTAAATTTACAACTCTACAGTTCAAACTGTAAATGCTTGCATACTTAATTGTTATAATGATCTTAGATGAATTATTAAATAAAATTAGGCTAAACAGGAAAAATTTACTGTGTGAGCGTATACTATCAAAGCGTGCTAGCTGGGGAAGTCCTTTTTTTCTCCTTTTACCGATTCAACATAATTTTCAATAGAGTAAATATTTTAACTTGAAGTGATCAATTTCTTTATAAAGAAGATTTCATGTGTTTTACCACCTTCAAAACAGATCTATATAAACTATTTGGTTAAAATATGATAAACAAAGGAGCAATATAATAGTATTAGATATCATCATCCAAAAATAAGTAATCTCAAATAATGTATCTTATAATTCCTTGAATTTTGGCCTTATATCTCTAAGCCCTGTGGCAGAATTGCAGCGACATAGCGACATTGTCGCAGAATGTTACAATGAAAGAAATGTTCGAAATTTTTTGATTCTTATTTGAGAAGAAGGAAAAATAAAAAATATTGAAGCAAAAAATTTCTTTTTTGTAGAAATGTTTGAAAGATTTTTTTCCTCTACAATTATATTCAGAGGGGAAGAAATACTCCTGATTTTTTAAATTCTTATTTGGGAAAAAAATTGCTTTTCTTTTCTCTCACGGATTTTACGATTTTTAATTCTTTTTTTTAAAATGTGATGATGATTTACTAAATGCGGAAAAAGAAATAATTAATGTGTTGTCTTCTTACAAAATATGAGAATATCGCCCATGATATTAGAATAAAAAAATATTGCATAATAATTTTTTTTTTAAAATACATGAAATTTTATTACATCCAAATAGGGTTTTTTTGTAAATACAACGTTTCTGTTAATTTAAATTTAAAAATTTAATTAATAACATGCATATTAATTATTATTAATAGCTTCTTGCAGAAAGACATTAGTGCTATAGAGGTTTGTCACAGAAAGCCTAAAACAAATTCTGCCACAGGGAGGAAGAAATGGCTTTCATCTCAAACATTACATCTCGAGCTAGAGAGTGCTTGGCCAGAAAAAAATTTTATCAAATTTCAGCAAACTCTATACTAAAAATAGACGGAACAAGTCAAGTCGAACCACCAAAATAAAGTTAATTTCTAACGAGACATCTTGGGCGGAGTAATGCCAAGTAACAAATTCTAGAACATCAACTTCTTCTTCATATTCAGACCAGAGAAAAAAAAAATGATTGAAAAATCATTTCATTATTGGTCTACAGATCATAATACACTTCAAAGTCTAATTCGGACAAATCTTCAAATGTTATGTTTTGAGAAAAAATTAGTGATTTAAAAACTCTCCCATATTTTCTCGTCATATTTAATTTTCAGGTTCAGCACTAATTCCAGTTCTGGGTACAAACCAATAGCATTTTCTACTTCTATCATAAATTCAGCTCTACAAAAACTGTCGATCATATTTTTTTACATAGGTCACATGCCTCCAAGCTAATGCAATGCTTGTTTTGCCATTTTTTATCGATAGTATCTACTATCTTCTACTTTTTAACCACATCTAAATTAGAAAATTTTGATCAACTCATAATCAAGAAATGACAGAATTGAGGTGCCGTTTGGTGGAACAAATTATGTGCTTAGAAAAAAATATTTAATCTAAATCCAATTAAAAATAAAATTTAGATACTTACTTCAGCTTTATAAGCAATACTCATCAAAGGATGGGAAAAATTTCCAATAAACTCTAAGAATCTAAAAAAAAAAAAACAGAATTTGCTTGATGATTCTTTAAGAAACTAAAATCATAATTTTAAAATATGTGCACAATGGTTTAACTTTTTCCAGAACAATATAAACACATTTTTTAGGTTGAAGATTAGATTAAACTAAATTCTATTTTAGATAATCACAAAAACTGGTAAAAGAAACTACAATGAATGTAAGTGACAAAACCAGTGTTTTCATTCTACACAAACTAAGGACAATCTCTGAGAATCACGATGTCCACCTCCAATAGTATATGAGTGGATATTTGCAGTAATGAGGTAGCAGAAGAGGGAAGTGAAGGTGAAACAGCCACTTACTTATAGGGAACTCTGCTCCATTGAAAGATCCAAGCTTCATCTATTGTGGCATATACCACCTACAGACCACGGGTATCATAGGACATCCCCTGTTGGATATAAAATGCGATTGTAGAGCCCATACTGCTCTGGCTAGATTTCCAAGTGGCTCTCTTAAGTTGTTTATTTTTGAGGGGGGCCGAAAGATCTTCCTAATTACAAAAAAATGCTTTGCCGGAACATATTCTGGTTTGCCTTGGACTTTCTAAGGTGGATCTTACATCAGATTCCCTTTTTGTTGCAGATTTGCTTGCAGTCTTGAAGCTTTTCTGACGTATGTCAGATGAAAAGGATAGGCAACAACAATGAATGTTTCTAATACATTGGCAGTCATTTAATTATTTCATAAGCATCTAAAAGAGGGGAGATTTGCAACTCGTTTATTTTTGTTCACATGGGAGAAAGCATGAGGCCATGAGCATTGTTTGTGTAAAACAAATGAACAATAAGATAATTTTATTCAACTAAAGTGCAGCAGAAAATATAAACATCTAAACTAACATGGAGATGCGTTAAAATATTAATCTCTCGCACTCGGATGTCACCTCTGAGTAGACACAGAAAGTCACCTCTTTAAAGCTTAAAATTTTCATGTCTTAATAATTAGTAGCCATGAATTAGTAGGATGAATTTTAGAAAATACATAAAAATATTGTACTATGTAGTTTATATGTATAGTGTTTTCTACACTAGGGAGCGCTGCGAGCTCTTGACTGCCTATAATTTTGGCTTTCTGTTTTGGTCTGCTTCGAAGCCATTTGGTTCACAACATGATCATTGTATTTTGAGACTCTCTTGAGTAGTATTTCTTGTATACATGCATTTGTTACCGGATTAATTATCTGTGTTTAAAATAAGAATCGTTATAAGAATTGCCATTTGAAGATATTTAACTAGATGAAGATAATATGCGACTGATATTTAAAGACGTTAAGAACCACCATTAGAAAAAAATAATCGTTATAAAACATTTCTTACCTTGTCAGCAATATGCCATCTTCGAAGTTTAAACCTAAATGATAATTTATAATATGAACTTAATCTCACTGCTCGAACAATACGTTAACACTAATGTATGATGGTGAATGATTTGCAGTAAGAACAAACAGTAATAAACAAGTAAAAAGAGTTCTCAGAACTGCTAAAAAAGCGAGTTCATTCTAAATATGGCGACCATGTCACCTTGTTTACATCGCTAAATAACAAATTTTCACTTTAAACTCACCAGAATTACTTAATATCATTCATATCTTATAAAATACAGCAGATTTGAGCTCAGAAATTATATAATTTATTTATTTTGTTAAAAACAAAATTAACTGTTTGAAAATATCGCCTTGCAGAATAAGCTGCAGTGAGCAGCCGTATACTTTCTAACAGGAAGTAGAGCAGGTCAAGAGCTCAGGATTGTTGTTCACATTCACATTAAAAAGACCACCCATAATTTAGTGTTAACATTAGTTCCAACAATTTGCTCAGAGTGTATTAAAAACAAATACTTACTCGTTTTCCCAAGCTTTGGCCTTAGCATTATTTATTTCATCATTGTAGTTGGTGACAGGAATGGTTATAATGATCGCCTGAGCAGAGTCATAAGAAGATTCAAAACCTCCAAAAACAAGAGATGCAGAGTCTATAGGCCCACCATAGAGTGCAAAACATTTATGATCACTTGGAGTTCTACAAATATTATTATAATAATTCAGGTGACAGTTATTTCAGTATAATAAGTTTTAAAAAAAAGAGAGATAAAGATGATGAGGCAATGAAGTGTTAAGCAATTAAGTAACTTAACAGGAGTTCATTTTTTTAGAAACCAGCATATAATGAAATGCAAAGAAGCATACCTGCTTTTTACTTCATGGAATTACATAAAGACAATTAATAGTTTCGATTTTCTATTAAAATATAAACACCAAAAGTACAGTATTTTGCTATGAGTTCTACTGGGTCTTTACAGTCAGTAAATGTTAACGGTATAACAGTTAACTACATAATATGTGTTAAATAATAATTTAGTACACAGTAAGACACAATCATCATTTTAACTCCTGATGATCAATAAATTCAATTTTTCTCTTATGAAAATTATATTCTCTCTTTTTGTGAAGTATTGTAAGAGGTGGCTTATTTTAGAGTTAAAACAAGTAGTATTGACATCCTTCGATTTTATCTTTACCTTGATTTAACGGTTCTTTAGATGCCTGGTGATTTCTAGCAAAAATTGCAGCTCATAAATAAATTAACGATATATGCATAGAACAGTAATTTAAGTGGGAAAAAAATACACCAAAACCACAAATTGCTTAAAATATTCAAAATCCTGCAAAACACTGTGCTTACAATAATTAAAAATCGTGATGTAATTGTTTTAATTTATTGCCATCATTCTCTTGAAAGAAATTTTCAAAATCTAAAAAAAGCAATGAATGGCTTTCTAAACGTTATGTGTAGCATTAATAGATATAGATTATAAAAAAACTAAATACAAAAAAAATTATTCATAAAATTTTTTTATAATTTTCAACTTTTAATGCATATACTTGCACTTTATGAACATAAAAAAACAGTGTTAGAGTAAATTATTCTATCAGTTTCATAATTCTTTTAATGTTTTTCTCAAAATAAGACCAGTAATTATGGATTCTACTATATTTGCTTTAATTTTGTGTCTCATATAGTAACGCCATGTTGTAACTTCCGAATTTCTGCTTACATCGAACGTCGACAACTGTATAACTATAAATATATTAAAAATGTAATGACACACTTAGTTGACTCTAAATGTACTCACAGTGAACAGCTCTTAAAATGCGTCAGGTAATCAGTTACATTTTGAAAACTCTCAGCTTTGTTTTGAAAAAATGCAAAAGGACTTTGTATAACACATTCAGAGTTGAGTGGTTTTAATGGTGATAAACAAATGTCTTTCAAATGAAGAGTTGAATCATTCAACACAGCAGTTATTTTTTCAATCTCCATTTGCAAATCCAAAGCCTACATTAAAAGAAAAGTCCAAAAAATTATGTACAGGTTTTAAAATAAGATTTATTTTTAGTTTAGATTAGAGCAAAAATAGCTTAACATTTTTAGATCAAATTATGCTCAAAAACCAGAATTATTTATGTCAGAAAATTTTACAACCTCTTTTTGGAATATTAGTCAACTTTTTCTTTTAAATTTCAAAATGGTGAATTAAAATTTAATTAATATGTTGTAACAGCTTCACTTATCATTGGTAATGTAAATTGCTCTATTTTAGATGTGATTTATGAAATATGATTATTATATAAAAGATTAACAGAGTTCAGAAAAATGAAATAATACTTTCAATTTAAGCACAGGAAGGTCAATAAATTATTCCACATGAGAAAAATAGGGATATGTTGCTATAGGTTAAATAAGTTAGGTAATAATAATAAGCGTATGTTTGTTAAGTAAAAAAATTGTGCTAGAAAATCACAAGTCATTAAAAAAATTCAGAGTTTTACTTTACTGCAATTTTTATTGTTTTCTAAGTTCTGTAATCAGATCTTAAATCCATGGAGTTATAGAAGATTTTAAATTATTGGAATCTTTAGTTTTAGTTAGCATGCCTACTGTAGGTTTTAGTTATCTCATGTTAAAACTTTGTTTAAGCCAAAGGATTTGTATTTATTAATGTTATAACTGTTCTGAAAATGTATCTCTTTTTAAACCAGGCCAACAGTTAATAAGGCTAATTTCATGGCTCTGGACATTTTAAAATCACAGTTAAAAAATGTTCAGTATAACTCATAATGCAAACAAATTTCTTGAGCTGTGATGACTCAGGGAATAGAGTGTTTGGATTCCAATGAGATGAACCCGGTTCAAATCACAACGATGGCTGGTTGATACGAATTCCGCACATGGCTCCCACAGTGCTGGCATAAAATATAATCAGTGGTAGAGGAATCATGGGTCAGAGTACCCTTGCCGTCAGGCTAACCGTGGGAGGTTTTAGTGGCTTTCCACTCCATGTAAGGCAAATGTGGGTTAGTTCCATCTAAAAGTCATTCACAGTTCAACAACAGTTATAAAAAAATTTCTTAATATTTTTTGCACCTGTTTGAGATCATTAATGCAAAGAAATTGCTCGTTATTTTTTCATGAGATCCTAAATCAAAAGAAAAATATCAAATACAAAATATAATTATCAAATGAATAGTAAAAAACAGTCAGATTATTATAGTTGAAGTTGAGAGAGAATTATAAATAGGTTGCAAAAATTAAATAAGTGACCAGATAAAAGTAAGAAGAGTAAACTGCTATAACTGTGTTAGATAAATATGTAATAAAAGGGGTCTTATTATTGATTGATTGACCTCAAACAAAATTTAGACCTTTCTCCTTTTTTGTGAAACCAGTTTTTGGAGATGACATTTTCTCATGCACTCAACTTACGTGGGTAATGTTGCTAACAATGTGTGTTTGGCAATTCTTTTTCATTTGCTGTGCAAAGATCATGACATCTTTCCTTTTCTGCAGTACCAAAGTACTTAAGTCAAAGTTGAAGCTTGTTAAATTGTATTCTTTATTCTCTTTTATGTTCCTTCAGTTACAAATAGTATTAATTCATATTAACGTTTTATGTGGATTTTTCGGATGTCAAACTGAATAATTAATTCACATGATAGCATTCGAATGAATGTTAAATCACATTAAAAAAGAATGCAGGTAGAACAGAGTCACACATTTTAACGCAGCTTTTAGTGGCAACAAAATAGAGGCTAACAGATATTCAACATCGAATGGTGGCTGTTTATGATAAGCTATATCCAAAAGGGATGCGTAAACCTCCTCAGGGTGTATAAGCTTTCATAACTAGTAGACATCAACTTTGTAACATGATTTTCAATTACCCTTTCATATAATATTTGGATGCAATCGAAGGGCTACTATTTGTAACATTAGGAAACACTATGCTCAAGTAAAAAAGAGGTACAATCACTTTCTGATACAAAAGAACATATATAAAGTGCGCTTTTATGTTTTAGTGGATAATTATTTTTAGCAACATTTTATATTCACTTTAAATGTTCTCATGTAAATTGCTTAACTAGTATTACAGAATATGTAGTACACTCCTCCAACCTTAGTTTATCTCTGAATAGTGGACTGCGAGCACTACTGTATTTCTCTCTTTATCTAATCTATTCTTATTTTGGCAAACCATTTACCTTACTGAAACTGAAATTAATATGCTAAAAATATCCTTTACATTATATTGACTTAAAAAGTAATTTTAATTAAAATTACTTTTTATAAAAGACTTGACTTCTCTCATAAAACAAAGCATTTTTTTTCACAATTCCAGATATTTTTTTTTTAAATGTACTACTTAAAACTTACTGCTAAAAGAAAATCTTGTTGGAAAATGGGTCCCCATGAGATATTTTTTATTTCATGATTTACCACTATGGGATGAAAAAAGCTTTCTTGTTTTGTTGGTGTTATGATAACTTGTTCAATGCGATAGAATGGCCTAGTAAAAAGAAAGAAAAACAGTAAATGAAACACAAAACTATTATTAACACAAATATACATGATATAAAATAATTTATAAAAGCAAAGAATAAAATAGTTTTAATACTTTTCTTTTGAAAATTATAGTGAACTTAATTTTTGATATAAACAAGCCAATTTCATTGAAAATTTATATACTTATATTACGAGGGTTATTATTTTTTTCAAGGTCCGATTGGTCGCTAAAGGAAAACTTCGAGGAAAATCCGCTAGGTCTGTGCGCAGACGTCTTGTGCTGTGTCTTTAGTTGGCCAGGGTACAGCGTGGATTATCTGTTGTCATTTTAGATTACGTATGGAGCACATACACATGCTTCGAAAAATAGAGTCTCCCACCAAATGTGAATTGCATTCAGTCATTCGATTTCTGCATGCTGAAGGAAGCAATGCAGCTGAAATTCATAGACGAACGAGTAAAGCGTATGGAGAAGCGTTCCTTAGTGATAGCAATGTGCGGAAATGGTGCAGGAACTTTGATGCTGGACACACAGATGTTCATGATGCAGGCGGCCAGAGAAGGAAGTCAGTGTCAATCGATGATCTTTTTCAGCACGTGGATCAGGCGATTTGCGGAAATCGTTGGTTCACAATTTCTGGGTTGAGTGAATTGATTCCGAAAATTTCACGGTCAGCTCTCTATACCATTGATAATAATTTAAAAAGAAAAAGAAGATTAAAATTAATAATTTTGTATTTATTTTTCAAGAAATTTTCTCGATCATTTCAGAAACAACTGCAACAAAAATACAAGTTGAGATCCATTGATAACCAAACCAAGATCCATTGTATGTACTTATATTATAAACTTATATTATACACAACATTAGTTTAATGCATGTATTAGAATCAAAATGAAAAAAAAAATTGTTTTAGTTTAGAATTTAAAAAGAAAAAAAAGATTAAAATTAATAATTTTGTATTGATTTTTCAAGAAATTTTCTTTATCATTTCAGAAACAACTGCAACAAAAATACAAGTTGAGATCCATTGATAAACAAAACCAAGGATGGTTATTATTCTACATACTATATGCAAATTTTGAAGCATGTATAACTTTCTGTACTACTTCTATATTTTGTGTTGTTTATTTAATGGTACTAGGAATTATTTGATAAAAATAAAAGTTAAATTATAATTTATTTTTATTAATAATAAAAACAAATCTACATACATAAAACATGCATGTAAAATAATAAACTAGTCATAGAATGTTTTAATATATTTTACAACTTATTTAAAATGCATAGTAGATATTAAAGAAAGCAAAACTTGTAAAGCAGGAAGAATTAATATAAAATATTACAGCCTATTTAAAAATTCACTCTCGATAAGAATTATTTGACAGTCAGAAGATACCTTTGGGGAAAAAAACAAGTAAATAAATAATTACAAAAGTGTAAACTTAAATATAAGTTTAAATTATGACCTCTAAAATAATACAAATTTATTATTTTTAAAACCTCTAATGCCCCTACTTAATTTCATATTGTTTTTTTGTTTTTTTGTTTTAATTTTAACAACAAAAAAACTTATTTTCTTATAAAAAAATTTTATGATTTTAAGCAATGTACAATCTATCAAATACTGAACATTATAGTTAGACAAAGCTGAGTTCATTACTGATATTGTGTATATTGGAAAAATTAAGGTAGTCCTAAAAGTAATACTATTAAAAAATATTTAATTCATCTTTTTTATATAAAAAAGTTTAGAAACCCAATGCTGCACAATAGAGACCTACACTAATTTGTTTTAATGATTCTAGTATGCCATTATTAATATTTACCAGTTGTAGTAAACTTTTCTTAAAAATATGCTTTTCATTTATGCTTTTAAAACCTAAAACTATGTTTAGAAATCTATTCAATATTATTATTTTTAAAATAATTAATTTTGAAACTAACTCATTCATTTTATACAGATAAAAGTAATCATCACATAAATTGTTTTTATAACTAAATATATGAATATTATTCATTTGGAAAAATGTCTATACACTAAAAGTCAAAAACAAAAGATATACATTATCTTATTTCAAAGTTGCTAAGTTAATTCTTGTAGCTAATGCATGGCTCCTCCTCCCACCCAAAAAATATAAAGAGATTATAAAATAAATATACTATTCAGCTATATATTGTTCTTCATTACAATTACATTAGTACAAAAGTGAAAGATGATATCGGATTTAAAAATTAAATCTGAAAACGAAAGAACGAGTGAGAGAAAGAGAAAAAAATAGATTTTTAAACATTTTGATTAAATACGTGTAACTAATGCATATATTTTTTTCTTAAAATCCCATTTCAGAATAAAAGTCATGAGGAATTAAAAATATTACCCAAAGTGATTGTTAAAATACTCCATATCGTGACGTGCCTCACTGCTAGCCGACACCCACAAATCTACAGGATTTGTGGTGACATCAAAATTGAGCAGAAGTCCTGAAGAAAGAAGAAGGCAAACAAAAAGTGAGGACACCATTATGCTGATGGGTCGTCTGGCCACAAAAAGACTCCAACTCATGAAATTTTTTTCCAAGTGTCCTTCGAGGCTGTAACCAAACATTCGTATCTTAGAGGGTCTCTGGACAGATTTTTGAGTGGTCGACGGAGATCTCCGACTTCTCGATGTTATCACAGGATCTACATAAATATTAATGTTAGAGTCCATCAAAAAAAGTCTGTAATTTAGGAAAATAAAGCTAAACATTGATATCAGAAACTTCACAGTATAATGAAAAATCTGAATTTGTTACTTATTTGCTATTATTATATGTTATTGAAAAAAAGTAAATTCACGAAATTCTCTCCTTCAACACAATACCAAACTATTTTTTTTTTTAAATTTTGAATTGATTTCTGGTAATTTAATTCTTAAGGACTTTTCTTGATTCATTTTATGAGTCATTTCCTACAGTAAGAAAGTGAACACTGTATTGAAATGAGGTTGTTTGAAAAATTATTTCCTAAGGATGTCTACATTGCAAGAAATAAGTGCAGATTTGAAAACTGTAAATAAATTGAGAAAACATGCAGCAAACAATACTGCATAGTAAAATATTCCAACTAACCAGTTAATTCTAGCTAAAAATAAATAAGAATAAGTAATAAAAAAATATACATTGAATTAAAGCCATACTTCTATTTCTGGTCAACATATTCATATGGATTTTTATGAAATTCAATCGCTGCACAAGGAATCATTTCCTTTGAAAAAGTATTTATGTCATTCTAATTCTAGACAAACAAAATATCTATGACATACCAATAACTGAACCAGAGAGACAGCAAGGAAGACTTCCTTTGGTCAGGAACTTTTCCTTAAATAGCTTTCATATACATTAAATTTGATTTTATAACAAGCATATCTCCTGCAATGCTGTGCGTAGCCAGCTCTCAGTTTTTGATGCTTAATAATTGTTATCCATTCTTTCATTTAATTTTTAATTTTATATTAGCTATTGTCTTTTTTCAGCCTATGTACAAATTACTATATTTATTACCTTAACTAAAAAATAAAAATTGCACATTTTTTTATAATATGAATTTTTGACAAATCAAATTTGAGTTTCATATTTATAATACAAATGCATCCAATAATAAGGCAAATAAAATTAGGCTTCAAATGAATCAACATACAATCAATACAAGAGAATTTAAGAATACAAGAAAGACCAAATAGAAGGATTAATTGAATGTGTTGGCTTTGACAATTTTGGAACAATAAGTTTTATAGGTTTTTGGGAACTCCAAATCAGCATTTTTTTTAAAGTAGAATTACTAATTTAATAATAACATATAATTAAAAGTCTTTTTTGACGACTATGTAATATAAAACAACATATTTTAGCAAATATTATGCTATTTTTATAACATGTAACTTTGTTACAGTTATTCATAATTTTTAGGTTAACTTCTAACATAAAGCATAATCCTGAAGGTATCGGCACAAACTAACTCTAGTGCTAGTTAATCTAGTAACGCTTAGAATAAATTTCGATGTACACAAAATTTTTATACATTGAAAAATTCCCTGGTTTTGAATATATAAAGTTCAAGTGTTCATAAATATAACTAATATTTATTTTCATTAAAATTTTCTTCTTTTCTTTGAGAGTAAGCAAGATTGGGAAAAAAAACTTTCATTTTATGCAAAGTCTACCTGAAATATTGAAAGAGATTGGAACAAAGCAAAGATAAATTTGAGTAATGTTTAGAGAAAATTTATGCTAAAATACCTATTTTGAGACAAACAGATACAATTCAAGTGCAGCACTTCTACTTAAAATGAATCTATGATCATATTACAGCGCAATCTGTATTTATATAAATATTTTAATAGTATTAAATAACATCAACACTTTCCTCAAAATAAGAAGCACAAAAATCATCAAAAGTTAACAATTTAAAAAAAACTAGAAATTAAAAGTAATTGCAAAATAATCTATTTAAATACAAATTTCAGCAACTTCCCATATTTTTTTTTTTAATTTTATAAAATGTTTATAGACATAAAATATTAAATTTTTCATTGTAAGTAAATATTGACGAAACAATTCTTTTTATAGAAAAATACATACTAGGAAATTTTGATCTTAAAGGTTCAACTTCTTCTAGAGATCCAAGATTGACACCAGGTGGATTGATTTCATTTAGTAATTCCGCAGCTGTAAAAATCGATACATTTTATAAAATTTAAGTTTAAAGTACAAAATTTGTTTTAAAAAAATTAATGTGCAAATATAAAAATAATTAATAAGGAAAGTAATAAGATTATGTAATGCACAACTAGTCAACTGGTTCAAAATCACTAAAACATCACAAGAAATAAATTTGCACTGGTCCACTGAACCTCAAGAACAGAATCATAACTAATCTAACAAGACATTAGATAATTACAACCGTTCAGCTTGCATTCCTTAAAAATAGATAAACTAGTTCTAAATAGTTAAACCCTATATTCTTTATTTTTCCTACTAAAATTATTTTATTTAACAAGCTAAAATTCTAAACAAAGAAATTTTAATTGGTTACATGTTAAATTATATATAAATAACAACAAAATGAATCGAAAATTGTTCACAGCATGTGAAATTTTTGATTTAAAATGGACGTTTATGAAAGAGTTGAAAGACATGGATGGATAATACAAAGAGATAAAATTAATTGCATAATTGATTATGAATTCTTTCACACTAACATCATTTTAATTCCCTTAAATAAGAACATTTGAAATACTAAATTTAAAAACTAATTTCAGCTCTACTACAGTTGATTTTATTCAATTTCTAAGGTATTATTATACGATGAAGTTCTTAAAGTAATACAAATAACAAGGTATTGAAAAGGTAATAAGTTCTTAACTGCACCGGAAATTAATTTAGATTGCTCAGCATTAGAGACTCGTTCTCTGTCGTAGAATGTTCTATATTCTCAAAATGCTCTGTGAGAATGTTCTGTGACATTTGTTCATGCATATAGACGTATGTTCATACATATATGATGAAATACGTGACACATATTAATTGAAGTCAATGATCAAGCATAAACACGCTATTCATCTTCATATCTAGACTAAGAATGCAGGTTAACTTTATTCAAATAATCAGCTGAAAATAAAACTTTTAGCTACATAAAATAGTAGCCAAGTAAATTAATTAAATAAAAATGCAAACTGCACAAATTTTTTTTTTTTTTGCCCTTGATATTGTTTGCACACAAGTACATTCTACATTTTTTATGGAAAATCTTCCTTAATCAAAACACGTTCAAAACAAAGGTACTTATAGGATTTATTTAAAAACTTAAGATGCGAGTAATTTATGCAGTAAAAAAATTAGTATTTCCTCAGAAAAGTTGGAAATACTTTAATTTTATTAAAAAAGAGAGAATGGTGCATAACTTCAAATTAATTTAAATTTGAAAAAAATTATACATACACTTACATATAAATGATTACATATATATCACTGTACTATAATTGATAATTGAATTTTCAATATTAATGGATATTACTCTTAAGAAATAATTCACTTATTATTAATTGATATAAAACTTAAGTTCATTGCAGTTATGAAAAAGGCATTTTTACATAAAAAAAATAAAATGTAGGACCATATAAGTTTAGTACTTACGTAAAAGACTTGCCTTACGGTGACGGCAGAATATAAATGTCATGGTGAAAAAGATCAAGAAAAAAATAAAAATGGAAACTACAGTGGCACCGTGTAGATTTAAAATTCTAAATGGCACTGGAATGGGAGGGAGATCAGGTGGTGTCATGGCACCGGAAGAGCACGCATCAGGACAATCATTACAACTGCATTTATCAAAGCCTGGGCCAGGGGATTCAGAACACCTGCACACACACACCAGATGATTAAGATTTTTTAGTGAAGAACATATTACAGAATATTTAACTACAAATAGGAAAACCAGTCAAGGCATAGAAAGCTGCTACTAAATATCTTTTACCATTTTAGAAATAAAAAACATTCAAATATACGACAGAAGAAATTAGTATTCATTTTCATACCCTCAGAAATGAAAACTTTTTCAAAATGTTAGCAATCATGTTCTTCAATTGTTTATAAGGGTTAAAGAGCTTCGTAGAAAGAACATGCTAGGTAAAATTTTGAAAGCATTGAATTTTACATGCTTTGATTTTTTATGTCAGTGTAAAATGTAAAATCATATTTAGATGTACAAATTTACATTCATACTTACATTTACAAATTTATATGCATATTTACATTACAGGGTAAAAAATGTACAGAACATTTTTCTACTAAAAGCACCTTGTTTAAAATTAATTACTGATAATTGATTAAGTTAATGTTTCTTATTTACAAATAACCAAAGGTTCTCAAATCAAAAAATGTATGCGTTTTTAAGAATCAACTTGTTTTTTTTTTCTCTAAGTTCTTAAAATTCGCATTAAAATTTTACATAAATAAAAAATTTATGCTATACATAATATATCTTGATATGCATTATTTAATTCAATTAAAAAAGCTAAAAATTTAAAGTAAGAAAATAGTTTTAAAAGATGTGTTATTCATAAAATCATTTAATCTATACATTATAAAAGAATTATGAATCAATTCTTTATAGCAAATATATAATTTAAAAAGGGTTTTGTTCAAATGACAATTTATGATGACCAAATCAAATTTAGTTAATTTATAATTATTCATTTTTCTAGTTATTTATTTTGAATAGGAAGTTTTTAAATTTGCAGATCTGAAGAGGTAATCTACACAGTAACACTTGTTAACATTTAGACAAGACCTTACAATTTATACAAATATTTTGAGGTCTTGAAAAGCTGTAACAAAAAGTTTGAATGAGATTAAATTACAAAAAATAAAACTGGTATATTAAATTAAAATAATGTAGGCCATAAAAATGTGTTTACAAATCTTTGATGCTTCAGTAAACAACTTTAAAAAAATTAAAATTGCCAGAACTGACTTTGATTGTTATCAATTTATCAATTCACAGGCTTAAAGTTTCATTAGAAAAAAGTATGAAATTCAAAAAGTATATTTTCAATAATGCAGTTATTTTTTAGCAGATTTGGAAAGAAAATTGAACAAAAAAATCAATAGTAGTTTAATAGACTAAATGTTTGTAATTCCTAAAAATATATCTTCACCTGTTCTATTACATTCCGAAAAACCCCTCATTATTCAATGAAGAAATTTGCCCAAAAGTGAAATGTTCCAGTTAAGTAATGACGAAGGATGCCAAAAAATAGATGTAGATTGGATCAAAGATAACAACAATTGAAGTTTTTACATACTTATAAGGGCTAACTTTCTTACTTAAGTATACTGTTTTAACAAATGAAACTTCCTTAGGAACCTTAACAGCTTCCACTTATTAATAGACATTATTTAAACAAGAGGAAAATTCTGCAGTTAATATAAATACAAGTCACTAACTTAGTGTGAAATGCTTTCATAGGGTTGTATGTTCTGTTATCCACTTCCACAGTATCTTCAAGGTGTATACTATATATAGTCTTAAAAGGCGAGTAGGCTCCTTCGTCGGGTGTGGAGCCCATGTATTCGGTCCACCGTTCAGGACTACAACCAGATCTTCCCCAAGAGCCACACCCAAAATCCAGAAAGTATTTTCCTGGGAAAAAACCTTGAAGTCCTTCACAAGAATCATACAAAGCATAGGCAAACCTAAAAATAAAAATAGGAGTTAGATTAATTAACATACATGTAAAGTCATTTATATAGCCCAAATAGTAAGACAATCAGGTTTCAAAACCAGTTAATATAATTCTAGTCTAATTTCGATAAATTATTTTTAAAAAAAAGAGAGAGAAAAAATTTTAATTTCAAAGTAATATGGGCATTTAAAACGAACTAGTTTGAATTAATATAATTGTTTGGTGGGTATTCATATAAATGAGGGATATTATATAATAATAGATTTCAAGCTATTAATGTAATAATTTTGGTTTAATAATAGTTTGAAGAGAGACGTCATGAAATTATAGGCACCTTCTCCTTAGCCTAATCGTTAAATTAGGCATTTACAAAATTTAATATCAAGTGATGTTTGAACTATGATCTATCATTTTATTAATCAGGATACAAGGAGTCATAATGGCTCAAGGCATAGAGCGTTTGCCTTCAAATGAGGTAAACCGGGTTCGAATCTAAGCGATGGCTGGTCGATACGAATTCTGCATCCGGCTTGCACCGACTACAGTGCTGACGTAAGAATAACCGTAAAATCAAAAAGTGGGGTCAGATGTTCAACGACGGTTACATAAAATCAGAATACCTTACTACTGAAAAAACTATCACATTTTCTTAGTATTTAAAGGGTTCTCTTTTTTTAACTACAGGATCTGAAGTAATTAAGAAAACATCACAATTTGTACTTATTTTTATCTTATTGTTACAGCATCAAAGAGCTAAGTCTACATTGCAACAAAATAAAAAAGCTTTAAACACAAATCTATTTTAATTCTTTAATTCTGTAGGATGAAAAAACTGCACATGCTTAAAGTAAAACTTTTTTTTAAAAAATCTTTTTGTTTTGAAGCTAATAGTGATCAACAAAAAATTTTTTGACTAAAATTTGCCCCTACTATAATTTATAACTATTTCTGACAGCTACTAATTATAAAAAGGAAATGAAAAAGGAAATTTTAAAAAATATAATTGAATATTTTTTTAAGTAATAAATAAGTATATATTGCAAAGAAGTGATAACGAACTGTTTGAAAAGAAAACAATATCTAAGAAATTAGGTTTGATTATGACTCATTTTTTTCATGCATAAATGGTAAGTACGAAGTTTGTATGATTAACAAATTGCAACATCAATTTAAAACCTATTTAAAAACACAAAAGAACATAAATCTTACTATTAGAAATGTCTGGACTTATGACTTATTTATGACCCCTTTGTTCAAAAAATTCACTTATTAATATGGCACACTTAAGAGTTATTACTTGTGTTTGCAACCTTTCGTGTATTTAATGACATATTGTCTTAAAAATAAATCAGAGTGTCTGTGCAAACATCACCGCCTGTTGACAAATACATTATTTTTAATTTTTTACAAAACTTTTCTCCACATTTTCAATTTAAAGATATGTATAAATTATTTATAAAATAATATAAAATTAGTTTAATGGAAAAATGACTATTCAAGATTAACTCCACCTATTGTTCTTCTTATTCAAGTTAATGGTTAACATAAGTCTCATACATAGAGTGCTTGAAAGATATGGAATATAGATAATTTTTGTCCATTACAGCATATTGTGCTATCTGCAAACCAAAATTTAAAAACCTAGAGGCAAAACTACTTTTTAATGGAGAAACAAATCTTCAATTAAAAATAGGGAATCATGTTTATGAATTTGAAGTTGTCCTCCCCCCCCCCCTAAAGGGGAGTCAAGTTTGACAACATTGAATTGAACTTTCAAAAATATTTTATCTACATATTTTAAGATTTTTATCCAGTGTATATTTTTTCTTTTAGATATTTGACTGTTTCCATGCTGTTTGAATAACCTGTATATTAAATACGGAGTAACAAAAAGACAATTTTGGGCACACAAAAAAAAATATCCAGTGCTAAACAGTTTTTCTTACTAAGTAAGATAAAGAAAATCTTGTTTTCAGTAAGGGAAAATATCTAGGGTCATAACTCAAATTCAATTTAGAGAAAGCAACTTTTTAATGTCCAAACTACAGTAGAAAAATATTTCTACAACAATTCAACTACAGCTAAATTTATAAAAAAAAGAGTTGAAAGAAAAAGTGATTCAATCTGTGTAAGCAATTTTATTTTCCTTTAGGAGTATTTACTTTAGGATTATTATAAATGAAGAATTTAAACTCTATCTAAATAACTGAAAGTGTTTTTTAGGAACGAAAGAAATTCATACAAAACATGGGCTGGTAAATGTAAATAAGATATATTAAAAATTGGCTGTTATGGTGGTAATGCATTGTTTTCTGTTTGTTACAGCCAGTTTGTAAATTTTAAAAAAATTTTAATTTATGAAAGTTAATAAAGTTTGGGGTAATTGACACAAAGAGTTATTTGTTATTTTAAAAAAATTCATTAAGTAAAAGCAAAGTTAAGCAAAAGTAAAGCAATTTTGTTTTACTTCTTTTAAGAAGTAAAAGACATTTAAAATATGGAATGTTACAACTGTAATAATAGAGTTAACCCTATAGTTCAATGACACAACACTACATATTCAACAAAACTGCTAAATCAGGTTGAAACAATAATTATAAATAATTATAATAATAATTATAACAATAATAATAAATTATCTTATCTGAAGCATTAAATAGCATACTTTTTGGAAATAAAATATTCCACTTCTTCTACAACTTCGTGTTCGGGCTCATCACCGAATGCTTCGACCGTGTCACTCCGGAGGAGTCGGACAAACCTGCTCTGCCACGGTGTACAAGACATGTAGCAGATGGTGCGTCGGAAGTTTTGGTGGCAGGAGGGACAGCGAAGGAAGCCCAAAGCTTCCACCATTTCCATTTGCTCTTGAAATGCCAACAACTGCTTTGTACTACAACACACATGAGGATCATCATCTGAAAGAGATTCACAAAATTGTCACAGTTCAAATTTGTGATGTGGAAGATAAAGGGGTAAATTTTAGCTGAGTCTCTTTATAGGAGATCGGAGAAAATGTGTTATAACTATATTCTTAACTATAAATCCAGTTATTATTAAACAGATTTATAATGATCCCTATGTAAGATTTATTGCCATTTTATTGTCGATCGAAATGGGCAATAGGTGGTGCAGAATAGAACTTTCTACCTATGGCAACCGTCTGGAGGAGCAGGAAGTACATTAGTTTCTGTCTTAATTTTCAAATAGATTAAAAACTTTTAAATTAGGAAAGTATAGGGAGCTGAAAAACTACATTGAACATGGTTTTAAAAGGAAGCATTGTGGAAATGTAAAATAAAAATATTTTTGACAATGAAATACAAGAAATAAGAAGAAAAAGAAAAATATCATGGTACATTCCTATACATCTGAAGAGAGGAAAGGGGGGAGGGTAAAGACCGGTCTTCCCCACCAGATCGCATATTCCAGCGTTACGATCGCGAATTATGAAAATATTACAAATCATTTTTATAATTAAACCAAAATTATTTTTTTATAATTTTAAAAATTACAAAAATTTCTATAATAATACATTTATTAAATATATATCTTGATAAAAAAAATTTTGCATGTTAAAATTAAAATATATATATACATTAAAAAAGTATTTATATGAAAATTTTAACACAACAGAAAATTGTAAACTTAATACGCTTTGGAGAAATAATTTTTTTTTATTATTACTAATGAGCATTTAAGCCCACATTGGGAAGAAACTAATAGCATATGGCCCTGTCTGTGGTCAGGTCAAGATGGAGCCCTCTAATATTCAACATGCAAGCTTTACCTTTTAACCCCAAAAAAAATAATAATAATTAAAAATAAATAAATAAAAATAATAAATAAATCACAATAAATAAAATTAAAAAAATAGCTAGCCTAAAACAAACTCTTCAATATTTGTTTTTCAAACTAGTTAATTTTAATACACATGGACGGGTGGGGGGGGGGAACACTCAAATAATTAAATTTCTTTTTTATTCCTTTCAATCAAAACATGTTTGAAACAAATGTATCTTAAGGCTTTATATAAAAACTAAAAGATATAAAATTAAAAAATTTATGTGTAGTAGAGACAATAAAATTATTTTTTTATAGAGAGAAGTTAAAAACCTGTTACAATTTAATTTTATTAAAAAAGAAAACTTGGAAAAAATTCAAAAAACCTTTTTCTAAATTCCTACCCTCATGAAAGACTTGGGGACAACAGAGTAATAGGCTATTCTTTTTTCGATGTATATTTTTAAAAAATGCTCCTAAGTATTGTTTCCAAATAGATACTTTACAAACTTTACTGTTTACTGTAGTGTTTTTCATAAAAAACCTATAATTAAAAAAAATTTAAAATATGACTCATCATTATAATATACACGAGCGCTGTTCATGGAAAATTCACATTTTTTTAATAGTAAAAAGTTGTTCAATATCACTTATTATAGAAATAAAAAAAAAGACAAAAACTTTTCATATTCTACCCGACAATCAACAGGATGCGTAGCGTTTTTAAAAATTGCTTAAATGTACTCTCTTCCGTTTTTTAAAAGCTCTTAAAGTGTTTTTTTGAGTGAATGATTGTGACAAGTATTTAATTTTCTTTTGTCCAAAATGAGATTTTTTTCTTTGGAATGCTAATTGTCACAATGGATTGTTATTGCGTCAAAAAGCGGGGTTTTCTAACAGTGTTAATCAACCACAATCCATTTCGGCATACCAACGTCCGGACTGTACAGAACTAAAGCCCTGGATTACCTGTAGCGTCATTTTTTCCCCAAGACCTCTATGCCGCGTTCGATTTAGATGTGCTGTCGCGATCACATGTGTAAACAGACGCCATTTTGTTGACTAGTTTCGACGGTGACGTCCATTGCGTTCGATTTTTTTTTTAAGAAGTCGAAGCAAGCTCTGCTCATTGTGCGCCAAGCTTTGACGAAACTAAACTGCAGAATCGAGGCATGCAAGTGTTGTCAAAGTTAAAAGTGGTTAAGAGCAATGTGAATTGCTTAACTAATGTCTCAAAAGAAATATTTAATATTCTGCTCCACATTTAAAATCTTTGCAGACTGAATGAAGATTAAGTTCTGAAAGCAAAATTGGATACGAAGAATTAATTTCTTATGTTTAAATTCTGCTGTAGAACATTTCAGCAATTTTCCTCAATGCTGCAACTTGTTGATGAAGTTGGTGATTTTGTTACTTACAGATTAACTTTTTAATTGAAAAGAAACATTTAGCTTTACAAGAAAGCAAAGTTAAAAAAAATGTTCCAGCAAAAGTATTGGAATGAGAGTTGCTGTTTCAGAAATACGATAAGATGTAGCATTTAAAATGTCAATTAAAAAGGCGTTCTTCTTTTTCTTTATGCATATTCTTTATAAACTACCCTCTAAAATGTTCTTTCATTGTTTTATCTTTTATTATTTTAAGTATAAAATATTTAACTATGAGCATTGGGAACATATTAATTTTATACAAAGAAAATGCTAAAAAATATGAGGGCACAAATTAAAAAGCATATTGTAGATGGCAATAAATCTTCGCGCTGCATAAATCTTTCAGCATTCTTAAAAGAACTTATTTTGGTTTTGCAATAAGCAAAAAGATACTTTTCAATTAAAAGTAATGATGCATCAGTCTATAAAAGAAATTTTATTCATTAAATACAGTCGTAGTCAATGATGTTTACTATATTCCTTCTTATAATAAAATATAGTTTTTTTAAGTCATCAAAATCATGTTTTTTTTATAAATCATTTACAGGGAGTTAATTTTGATTAAATATGAATTGTTGACGTAGTTTTTTTTATTTTTTTTTATTTACAATGAATTCTAAAGGCATCTCATTAATTCGTTCGATTATGTGGAGTTATGCCTTGATAGTTTTAATTTGCTTCGTCTTATTTTGTATAAGAACAAAACGTTTATTTCAATAAACTAATGATTATGGCAAACATTTTTCTCTTTAAAGATATGTTACTAAAATTATTACTCATTAATAAAACACAAAATTCTATTGGTATTGTCTTTTTTCTTTATTTGAATGAATATAGTTATTGGATAACTAAATTTAGTACAATTCAAAAAATTTTGAAATAATTCAGCAGTGTTCTCCCTAATCGTTTTTCGAAGGCTGGTCCGCCCTGCTTGCCCTTTTAATCCCGCGCCCTCTTTCCTCTTTTTGTAAAAATAAGCAAACATCCTTTAAAAACACTAACTTCTTTTATTTACATTCCATTTATCAAAAAGTAATTCACTGAGTAAATAATAATAACACACTTGTAAAATTATCTGTGTTTATAGGTTTAATTCTGATTACTATTACAAATATTTACTTTTGTAAGGATTATTTTTAATTAAATAAATAATAATAAGTTTCTCTTTTTTCGTGGAGGGAAATAACAGTGCATATTTGAAATATTTCAATATTATAACTGAAAAAAAATGGATAAAATTAAAATGTTTTTTCTTTTAAATATCAAGAATTACTTATTAAAATAAAATATTTACCATACAATATTATAAATGCTCAACTAATACGTCTCAATCATAGGGAATCTATATAAATTAAATAGCTTTAACTCTTATTTTTGTAATGCAAGAGGATGATAAGATAATGCTATTAAAGAAAAGATCAAGGGGTTTGGAAAAAAAAATAAAATTCTTAATGCTGTTTAAGTGAATTTATTGGTTTAATATTCATAACATGTTTTATTTTCTAATTGATACACGCATTTTTAAAGATTTAAAAAAGTAATTATCAATTTTAAAATACTTTTAAATTTTTTTATTTGCACCTAACATTTTAATACAGATTTATTTTAAATTTAATTAATTGTACTTTAAGTTTTAGCAATTGTTTATTATAAATGACCAAATAACAGTTGGTAAGAAAAGACTTGTACCATAGAGAGAGAAAATCTTTTTCTTTGAACACTATTGATAATATTCATAATGATTTAAATCCGAAATCATACCACTTTCTTCTCAAAAAAAAANAAAAAAAAAAAAAAAAAAAAAAAAAAAAAAAAAAAAAAATTCAGATCAGAACTATATAATAAAACGATTGCAAATTTCAAAGAGTTTAGGGGAAAAAAAATCGAAATGAGAAATCTTTCAACTTTTGGATATTATTGTCACATAATAGAATTGTATAGTTCTAGTACAACGTAATGTTCATAATGATTTAAAACAGAAATCATACCACTTAAAAATTCTCACATTAGAATCTTATAAAAAAAAAACGATAGCAAATTTCAGAGAGTTCAGAATAAGAAATTGTAACAGATTAGAAAAGACTAAATGAGAAATCTTTAACTTTTGGGCATTATTTCCACTGAATAAAATTTTACAGTTCTAGTGCAACGTAAATAAAGTACTTACCTACCTACCTTCACTGAATCGAATAAAAACAAAATATATGAATTTTAAGAGAAGAAAAATTAATTGTAAATATTTTAGTGATCTTCAAGAATATGAAAATATTAATAAATAAAAAGTGGCGTTAAGAATAGAAACTCCGTATTTCTACATTGTAAGCATAAGAAGAGAGTTGCGGTTATCACCAAAATGGCGGCGTGTCGCCACCTAAGTTACATATCCAGGTCTTTAGAATGAATTACTCGCGGATTTCCCGTGCGTGCATACTGCGCCGAATTCAATGAAAAAAAATTTCCGTGCTAGAACTGGGACGAGCTCAGCCCGAGTACGAAAGCCCGGGGCAGCCACGGGTTCGTTTGCAAGAAAAAGTTTTCAGGCTCAGGCGGGTTCGAACTCATGATAAAATTTTCATAAACTTTTTTACTACTTCTAAACAAACGTTTAGTACAATTGTTAATTATAAAAAAGGTTTAACTTATTAATTAACTATGATAAAAAGGTTTTACTGACTAATTTCCTTTTTAAGGCAGCAAAGGTCTAA